GTCAATCACACGTAGGGCGTCTTGCACAATGGGAGCGTCACAGGCCTCTTGGCGCTGATCGGAGACACTCGGGCACTGCCACAGTCGGCGAAGCAAGTTATCAGGAACAACGCCGCAAAGCTGGCAAATATTGTCTTGAAGCAGGCACCCGCACTCGATGGCGCGGTCCTTAGTCCACGCGGCGTCGCAGGCGATCATCCTGATCACACCTCGATCGCGCGGCTTGAAGGCCGACCGCCGCAACTCTGAGGCAACGACATCAAAGCACATCCTCCCACTCCCAATCTTGTCGCCCACCGCCATCTGGTGCGAGCGGATGACCCCCTCAAACAACAGATCTGCCACGAGAGCTGGCGACGTAGCCGTGAGCGGGATCTCGTCACCGAAATCGTCGACGAGCGTATGCCAAGATGGCATGTGCCATCCAATCCTAACAAGAGAGAAACGCATGGCCTGCATGGGGCCTCGGACCTGACGCCACACGGGGGCGGGGTGGTCAACGAAGCTCGTTTTCCAAGCCGCACCCAGCACAGAGAAAAGCAACACGTGATCAGACAACCTCGCCTGGGTTCCCCAAACTTCTTTCGAAAACCGAACAATCGGGGCCACTGCGGCCCTCCACGTGGGGTCTTGGTAGAGGATGAGGAGGGAGGTGAGGGAACGCTGGCCCGAGGAGGGCTTCAGGGTGGTTCCTAAGGCTCTCCGGGTACACGCGAGTTCAAAGTCTGAAATACCGTGGGTGTCAGCGTCATAATTCAACTCAGCAAGTGGGCCCGTGCTAAAAATGCGGCACGTGTGTCGGCCAAGCATGGCCTTGCACCGCTGGAACCTCGCTTGCCGCTGTTTAAATATACGGCGCCTTTTTTTACCATACGTTATACCTCTCCTGCCGCCTCTCCTCCCCATACCCGCCGTCTCATCAACACCCAGATTCACAGCAGTGGCCTTTGGCTGTCCAGCCAACGGACCCAGCGACTTCTTGATGCGATCACCGTGGGGGGAGGAGGAACAAACAAGGGAAGCCTTATCGAGGGAAATCGTGCAATCCATATCTTCCGTGATAACGTGGTGAAGCTCTCTGGCAGCTTCGACGACGCTGTTAACGATCGAACACGGGCGAGCCTGAACCGAATAACCGTAGGCATCAATGTAAACGTCGAGGCAAAGCTGCACTCTCGGAGATAACATGTCAACTGACGGAATAACAGAAGCACGCACAAAGCTGGTGGCGGCCGAGCACCCAGCTATGACACCTCTAAGCGCAAAACAGGGTCCTTGCCTTGGACCATCGTGCCCAGCATGATAAAACGCGGCCCTGCATACATGTTGAGGCATACGTAGGCAATATGCGGCGGGAAGCCCAGGTGCTTGCAGCGACCCTTGAGCGTTTCGAGGCAGATGGTTTCGAAGAATTTGTTGAGGTCCCACGGCATGCTGCAAGAAACCTGCGAATTGGTCACTGCGGCCACCGAGCGGAGCGACTGCCGCCATACAACGCCCCCTGCTCTAGCAAAGGCCGAGGCGGCAAGGTATGGCCTGTGCACGCTGGTCCCCCGCGCCTGGAGGATGGGCCGCCGCAGCCTTCCCCAGAACCTGTAAAAGCCAGCGAATATGCCTATCGGCCTCCATCCCCCTGTCGGTTTTCCAAGAAGGGTCAAACTCAAAATGCGAACCTGCTTCGGGATCACACCAGTGCTTTCCATAACCGACCAGAGGGTCATCAAAACATGGAGGGCAGCATCACTGAGGGTCTGGAAGTGCCGCATATGGAACCCGTCGACTCCGACGGCGGAGGCAGGCTTGTACGACCTGGATGCCTTCCGAATGCATTCGGGTTCGATCCACTCTAACGGACCCAAAAACTTGACAAAGCCCTGCTTGGGGGGGAAGGGGGCCTCCTGGGCCCTCCAGAGCCCCGAGAAACGAGCACACTCAGTCTGCAACAAACTTTTGGGGTCAGCTAAAACCTTACCTTTGGAGGAGACGGTGTGGGTGGGGGTCCAGGCAGTGGGGGGGGGCGGGTCCAATTATGAGCACGTTTCCCTCCCCCCCTCCAACCCGTCACACAACCACTCCTTCCAAATAGCGGCTGTCTCGGCCCTCGCCGTGGCCGAGTAGTTGCCGAGAGCCTGGCTCAAGGCCGCAAGGGTGTCGTGACCCGCAGCCTGCCACAAGTCACCTATATCCGTGGAACCGTCAAAAATTGGCTTCACGTGATCTTGGACACGCTGGGCCAGGTCCTGAAACGAAATCAAATGATCATTTATGTCCCTGGGTGGCGGAAACAGCACTTTGGAGATATCCCTGGCCTGGCACCAGCGGTCCGTGCTAGCTCAAACGATGAACATCCTCAAACTGCCCTCGAGCCACCTGAGCGCGTAGAGAGGGGGGGGAAACCGAGAGGAGGAGGAGGAGGAGGAGGAGGAGGAGGAGGAGGAAGAAAACATGGAATGGGACAAAGACGCCAAAAGGAGGAAAGAAAGAAGAGACAAAGAAAGGAGGAGGAAGGAGGTGGGAGGGGGGAAAGGCGAGAGGGCGGGGGGAAGGGAGGTGAAGGAAGGGGAAGCCAGAAGAGGAGCCCCAGAATGCCCTCCCCGAGAACCCTGGAGAGAAGCGAGACCACATTATAAAAAAACTCTCGTTATTACAAGGACCTTGTCTGCGGCGTCGAACCCCCACAAGCTAGAATTTTGGCCGCCCTATTCGAACACCGCTAACACATGCTAATTCCCATTACCTTGCCGGAAATACCACAGGCTACGCGCCGCTACCTGTCAGAGTACCACAGGCTAGTCTGTTGGCTACCCGCCCTAATGTTACAAGCGAGTTGCTGCGACCTTCCCAGAAATACCACAGGCTAATTCCCACTACCTTGCCCAAATACCACAGGCTAATTCCCGCATACTACCTTGCCAGAAATTCCACTGGCTAATTCCTGCTGCCTGTCAAGAATACCACATGCTCATTCCCTCAGGGTACATCTGGCTCCCTGTCCTCGCCGAAATACCACAGGCTACTTCCCGCTACCTTTCAGGAATACCACAAGCTAGATTACTTGGACTTACCCTACTCGGACACCACTACTACAGGCAAAGTGCCGCTACATTGCCAAAAATACCACAGGCTAACCCCCGCTACCTTTCGGGAATACCACAGGCCAATTTACTAATTGCCGCCACCCTGGCGTGCCACAGACGGATTGCCGCTACTGTACTAGAATTTCACGCCGCTACCTTACTAGAATACCATGGGGTACGCGCTACCGCAGCTTAGCCAGGCCAGGCTGTGATTAATTGACAAAGTGCGCTTGCACCACTTGGAGTCAGTTAAGCCTGTTGCGCCACTTGAGGGCAATTGGGTGAATTGGCCCAAAGCGTTGGCACCACTGAGTCAGTTGGGTCAAGCGTCCCGTGGGCCAGGCCAGGCCGATGGATTCATTGACAAGCTGCGTGTGCACCATTCGGGGTCAGTTGGATCAGTGGCAACACTTGGGGCAGTTGGGTGAATTGCCCAAGGCGTCGACACCACTTGGGTCAGTTGGGTCATTCGCCCTGTGGGCAACTGACCAAACTGACCCAAGTGGCGCAAACGATTATCGCAGTCCCCCGCTCTTCTAACGTAACTGACCCAACTAACCCAGCTGACCCTAAGTGGTGCAATCGATTAAAAGCTGCTCTAGTTCCGCCCGCAGCCAGACATCGGCAGGCCAGAGTGGGCCCCCAATAGGAGATCGGATCCCACATCGGCATCCGACGTCGCACCGAGATCGGCATCGGAGGCCATCGACGTCGAACCGCAGCGAGTCGGAGACGTCGAGACGAGCCCCGAGGTGGGGGCACGAGGCCGCGACCCGAAAAGCGTGGCGGGAGGCCCGTGCCGAGCGTCCCCTGCTGGCGAGCGAGGGGCTCCGCGGGCGCAGCCGCTGGGCCTGCCTGGCGCGGGGGTGGCGAACACACCAAAAAGGTGCAGCCCGCGCAGCGCGGACGGCGCGGTGGTTCCCGAGGGCCCACGGAGCACTCCTCCTCATCCTCCTCCTCCTCCTCCTCCTCCTCCTCCGCCTCCTCCTCCTCCTCCTCTTCCTCCCCCTCCCCCCTCCTCCCCCCTCCTCCCTCCTGCTTCTCCTCCTGCTCCTCCTCCTGCTCCTCCCCTTCATCTTCCTTCTCCTCCTCCTCCTCCTCCTCCTCCTCCTCCTCCTCCCCCCTCTCTCCTCCTCCTCCTCCTCCTCATCTTCCTCCTCCCCCCCCCTCCCCCTTCTCCCCCCTGCTCCCCCCATCCTCCCTCCTGCTCCTCCTCCTGCTCCTCCCCCTCCTCCTCCCCTCCTGCTCCTCCTCCTCCTCCTCCTCCTCCTCCTCCTCCTCTCCTCCTCCTCCTCCTCCTCCTCCTCCTCCTCCTCCCCCCTGCTCCTCCTCCTCCGCCTCCCTCCTCCTCCTCCTCCTCCTCCTCCTCCTCCTCCTGCTCCTCCTCCTCCTCGTCGTCCTCCTCCTCCTTCTCCTCATCCTTCTCCTCCTCCTCCTCTCCTCCCTAACCATCGGAGCTCGCGAGCGGGGACCTCGAGCGGAGCGCACTGCATCGGAGGCTGCACCGCCGCGTGCCTATAGATGCCAGATCGGAAGGTGCTCACTCACCCTGCTCATCCTGTGTCCTTCCTCCTCTTTCCCGTTCTCCACCGTCTCCCTTTCGTCCCACGACCCCCTCCTGCAACGCAGAAGAATGATGAAAAGCGAAAAAGGCAAACGACGGACGAACTGTGGGAGGGGGACTGAGGCAGACGAGGGGAATATCCGGGAAACCCAAACCAGCACATGTTGCGATTGCTAGCCTTTAGCATGCACACGGGGGAATGAGGAAGAGGGTGATGGAAGATGACAGAGGGCAACAAGGAGGACGGATCAACATTGATGGATTGACGACAGGTGGGTGGGAGAAAGGGCTGGATGGATGAACGAGTAAGGCGAAACCATAAAGGGGAACAGGGAATCAATGCTCGCGCACGCGATCGCCTGAGAAGTCGTGGCCGTCTGGGTCGACCTCTGCGTTGTCATCGGCGATATCGCATGCGTGGCCGTCCGCGTTAACATCTGCGCGGTCACCGAAGAACTCGTCCGCGTGGCCGTCCGCGTTGACGTCTGCGTTACCGACGAACTAGTCTGCGTGGCCGTCCGCGAAGAAGTCTGCGTGGTCAAAGAAGATATGGTGTGCGTGGTAGTCCGCGTTGACGTCCGCGTGGCCGTCGACGAACTCGTCTGCGTGGCCGTCCGCGTTGACGTCTGCGTGGTCATCGACGAGCTCGTCTGCGTGGCAGTCCGCGTGGTCAACGTTCTGGTGCTGGTGTCGGAAGAGGTGACCAAAGAGATCGACACTTCCGTGCAAGACGCCGCGTCCTCGGGAGCGGGCATACGCAAGCATGGGAGACAGGTCCTCGCTCAAGTGTAACACTGCTGCGCCCGTCCTTCTCTCTCCATCTCCTCTTGCATCCTCTCCTCCTCCTCCATACCTGCATCCTACTCCGCACCCCTCGTGACTGCCAGCTGTCGACGCTTTCGTGAACTCCTGGGAGATTCAGCGGAGAATGTGGACCTCGCCTCCCAGGGGGCTGCCAACTGTGAAACAGTCGCCGTTGTCGTGGGCTCCTGAGGGGTCCAGGGGAACGACGGCTTTGAAAGGACCCCAAATGGGCCTCGCCGACTTGAAAGCTGCCAAATGCATGACTGTCGCCACTTCCGCATGCTCTGGAGAGGTCCAGCGGATGGATATCGCAAAGGGAGCCGAACTGGACACCGCCTCCCTAGAGGCTGTCAACTGGGCAACCGTCGCCACTTTCACGAGATCCTGGGATGTCAAGCAGACAACGTCTGACAGGGAGCCAAAGTGGACCTCGCCTCCCTGGGGTCTACCAATTGAGAAACTGTTGCGGGGTTTACCGCAAGCGGCTGGAACACGTGACATACTGATGACGAGAGATAGCGGATGTGCATCGGAACCACTGCATCGTTCCTAGAATTAACAAAAACTCTATATATAGCGATCGTTTTGTAACTATCCATAAATTGCCATGGCTCCCATAGGGACGCAGCGACAGTACCACTCGACGGCATCACATACTACTATTTGCCCATGGGCTCGGCTTGACAAAGTCGTTCACCCCACCTCCAGTGCATTGCAGTGGTATGCTTCGCGATGCGAACCAACGTCGACTACACGCAAGAATGATCCTGGGTAAGAGTGACCTTTGGTGCGCGGCTTTTTGGGTTCCGCGGGGGGGGCAAACACAAGCGCGCAAGACGCCACTGCCGCCTCGCGTTCGGCGATCGAGGGACCCGACCCCATTGGGCCCGCACCAAAGGTCACTCCGGCGAAAGGTCACTCTTACGTCTAGTCGACAACGCACCACAACGAATTCCCGAATTCAGCCCGGGATGCCAACGAGGAACACCCACTGGTGCCCCCGCACAGCATCCGAGGACGGGGAGGCCAGCGCCCCGCAAATGCCGCGCACAACACTAGCCAGGACCCCCAAGACAACAGCCTGAATTTGAAAGCGCAACTTGCTGTTAGCGGCGATTTGGCGGAGGCACCCCAAAAGGGGTCGAGGGATCGCGCTGCATCGCCGATACATCGGCGATGTCTCGGCCACTTCGACGATGCAGAGGCGCCGTCGGCGTGGAGAAGATCAGGCTCCGCATGTCGCCGCATCGCCGGTGCATTGGCGATTCGGGCGCGATCCGCCCATCTACCCATACGAGAATAGCGCGCACGCACCGTACTATGGCTGGGCCCCGATTCAGGCCCCACTCCAACGCGGTAACAGTGGTAACCTGACGACCGCGACACGACGACGACTAACGGCAGCGCAGAGATGCGCCACCAAACGCTTTGGCCGGCAAGACTATGAATGCGAACGTCTACCAAGACCACCAAAGATGACGACTGACACCAGACAAACTACCAACCGACCAGCAATCCCTGGACGAGCACATCCAACAAGTTCTTCTCGACGCCGCCGCCGCCAGCAGCGCTGGAGCGCCACGGCCAGACCGACAACCAGACAGAGGAGCAGAGCGGCTACGCCTTCTCATCGCACAGCGACACGGGACCCCAAACAACGACCACCGCACACGCAAACAACTGAGCAAACCGATACAGCAAGAGACACGCGCGCAGAAGCGGCGAACACGACGGGCCTATTCAGGAAGCGCGCTCAAACAGTTCAGAGACCTCAACTCAGAAGTGTCCCGCGCATCAAGACACGCAGAACGAGTACTCTCATTACACACATGACAGACAACAAAGGCTCAAAGCGGACGGCCATGCAAGAAACCGCAGACGTCTTTGCGGAGCATTACAACAAATTATACGGCTCCACGGCCAAGCCGACGCAACGAGAGCGACGCGGCGACGACCTACCACAGTTCACTGGGGAAGAGTTTTAAACAAGGCGATATGAGGGCTCTGGCTTGGTAGAGCACCAGACACCACAGGTCTGCGACCAGAAATGTTGAAAGAAGGCACAACGTAATTGCACGGCGCACTTCTCCATCTCTATAACACGACCATCCAGTCCGACGCTCCGCCACCGACCAGCTGGAAGAGCACTGTCGTCACAGTCATTCGCAAGAGTAGGAATCGTACGCTTCCGAAAAACTGTCGGCCAATAGCACGAAACCATTACTTCTCAAGCTTTTCAGCAGTATACAGCAATTTTCGACCAACACTCAACTCACGACTAACTGCAGACCAGGCCGGCTTGAGGCCAGGACACTCGACCACCGACCATCCGTTCGCTTTCTACATCCTCCGATGGCGCGCGCACGAATGGAACCAGAACTTGTGGGTAGCGGCAAAAAAATTCAAACAAACTCTTGACACAGTCGAGCACAACAGCATGTGGGCAGCACTGAAGGCGAACGGCGTTCAACGAGGGTACATCTCAGAAGTCCAGCAGCTATATGAGGGACAGAAGGCCACGGCCACGACTGACGTCAGCAGCAAGTTCTTCAGCCTCCTCCGGGGAACAAAGCAGGGCAACCCGCCTACTTCTTTACTTGTCAGCGCTTTGCTACAGCATATACTTGCACCACTGATCACCGATTGGCAATATGAGGGCAAGGGACTCCAGGCAGGATCCACCACCACCTCCACACTCACCAACCTCTGCTTCGCAGACGACGTGCTTCTGTTCACCCAAATACTACCGCGCCTCACCGCGATGCTCGACGACATCGTGCGCGCAGTGCGACCTCACGGACTTAAGCTGCACCCATCCAAAACCCAAATATTCAGCAACCAGACCAGACGGACCGGCAGGGCCAACTCGGGCACAGTGCGCGTTCAGGACATGGACATCGACATCCATCCCCACGATTGCAGTGTCAAATACTTGGGTCAACTCATCAGCTGTCGCAACGCGATAGAGACCGAGATCCACCACCGCACAAGGGCAGCATGGGCAACGTCCGCTTCGCGTAAGCAAGAACTGACAAGCAAGCACTACCCGCTGGCGCACAGACACCAGCTTTTCACCCGCACAATGACACCTACAGCACTTTACGGAGCAGAGACATGGACGCTCACGGAACCTCTCCGACAACACCTGCGGCGAACACAGCGACGCATGCTCCGCATGATCATCAGGACACCAAGGCGACCCACTACCCGCCAAACGACCCCTAGCAGTACCCTGTGCGACGCGGACGACCGCACGCCCAACCAAGCACCTGACAGTGTTAATCAAGAAACCAGCAGCAGCGACGACGCAGCGAGCAACGCACCCCAACAAGACACGACAGACCGAAACAACGAGAACAATGACAACAACAATGACGAGAACGCGATGGAACCGTGGGCCGACTACATCCAACAAGACACGCGGCGCTCAGGGCAGCTCATGCAGCAACACCACGTTGAAAATTGGGAGACGATTCGCAGACAGAGATCGTGGCGCATGGCATCGAGGGTTGGCAACCACGAGCCCACCAGATGGGCGTGGCGTGCACTCTACTGGCAATCAGGAGAGAACTCACGCCAACGCGGACGGAGACAACGCGGCGGCCAGCGCCAGCGCTGAGACGACGACGTCGTCAGTTTTCTTCAATTGCACGGATCCGACGGGGATCCAACGCTCACACCAACCGCTGCGGAAGGCAAGCCGAACGACCCCCCCTGGGCTCGCTCAGCTCAAGACATCTCCACGTGGTCGCCACTCGGGCATCAATACATCAACACTTCGCAGACATTCACGAGCACGACTTCATCATCCTCTCCTCCTCCGTCATAGCTCTTACTGTATTGCATAGTTTCATGGCGTCTTGTCTGTCTCGCAGTTGCAATGCCTGTTGATATGTCTGCAGGAGGCCATGGCCTGACCCATTTGGTCTTAGCAGGCCCGGAAAGCTGTCCGCGGTGGTGGCTCGTTCGTGCGTTCGCTCGTTCCAGCGCGGTAGCGGTGCAAGCCTACCTATGAGAAAACCTGTGCACCGCACCGTCCCTGGGTCCAGAAGCGACACTGCCTGGGGAGACGCCAACGCGGCACGGTGCGCAGAGCTCGCGCACGGGTACTCGGGCCCCATCCGGGAGGTCTCGACGTGGGGGGGGGGGAACCAGGCGTGGGGCGGCAGCAGCCAGGGCGCGTTGGAGCTGCCCGCGCACCAAACTCAAGGAGGCCCCCGGAGACACAAACGAGCATGCACGAATCCCAGGAGCTCTAATAAGTGCACTGTTCCCTGGAAGCTCGTCTTCCCCACCGCTGCCCACAGTTCCCCATCTCCTCCCGAAAAAGCAGCGATCCTTTGTGTGTCCCTATCTTTCCCTCCTGACGAACAGCCTGCGAAGAATCCAGGCGAGCGGGCGCGATGGGGGGCGCAGGAGGGCGCCGCGCTCAGAGCATGCACCACCTTACGGGGAACAGAGCAAAACAACCGCCACATCGTGAGAAAACACGAGCCGGGGCCCTTAGCCCCAACAAAGACGAAGCCAAGGCGAGGATCCATGCTTCCCGTCGCGGCGCGGCAGGGGCGATCCGCTCGCGGTTCGAGCAACCAAGGCGATCCGCTCGCGCGTCGAGCGAGCCGCGCGAGGATAATTCGAGAATATCTGAGATCCAACGGCTCTGGGAGGTGTCTCTGACACCGCGGCCTTCTCAGGGTTCCGAGCCTTCTGAGAAGGCCCGCCCCTTCTCACCTACCCCCCGCGCTCGCCGCCGAGGGAAACATGGGCACGATGCCCAACGGCACGTGTGGTCCAAAGCCGACGGCGGCCGCTGCTTGGCAGGCGAGCTGAAGTCTCGAATGGGCCACGCCCGCGGCGGGCGAGCCCTGTTCAAAGAAGCAGGTGCCGCCGATGGGCTTCGCCCCCAGCGCATTCGTGCCTATTTTGATCGTGCCGAGAAGAAGTGGTTTTCGGGCCATAGCTCGGCTCTCGGGCAGCCGTTCGGGTCGATCTGGGCACCCCCAGAACGCCCTCAGCGAGGCGCAGCAACTGCTGAAAAGCATCTCGAGGCTGGACAAAACCGTCGAAAACGGACCGGAACGTCTGAATACCGAAAACCTATGTCGTACCCATGGCTTCCATTACATACGTACCCATGTCGATCGCACCGATCCTCCGTTTCGGCAGCGGCTTCGGCGACCATCGCCGACAGGTCGTCGAGGCCGCCACAGGGAAGCCACGCCCAGGGCTGGCAGTCCCAGGAGAACAAGAAGAAGCAACCCGCATCGGCGTCGCAGGCCGCCTGCAGCAGCGGGGGGACATCTGAAGGGGGGTACTGAAAAGACGGCTGGGGTTTCTCAAGGGAGAGGGGGCCTAGAAGTGGATGCTAAAACCGGTTATATATGGCCTAAACTAGCAAATAAGTGGGCCACAGGTGCTCTTAGCGGTAAAGGAAGTTCGAGAATTACACGAACTGGGCGGAGCCCACTTCGCCCGACACCTGGAAAAACGCAAAAGCTGGGTTCGGTGTTGTGTGTATATATATACATACATACATATAAATGTATATATATATACATATATATATATATATATAGATGCTCGCCCCCCCCCCCTTCACACATGATCATACAGCTTCCTCTTCCACGCATCCCAGATATCCTCCTCCTCATCCTCCTCCACTCTTCTTCGTTCTCTCTCTCTCTCTCTCTCTCTCTCTCTCTCTCTCATCCCCTTCTCATCCTCCCCCTCCTCCTCCTGCAGGAACGCGGCAGCCTCTTTATCCCCCTCCCCCTCCTCCTCCCCCCCCTCTCCTCCTCCTCCTGCAGGAGCGTGGGCACTGAAAACCGCCCCGGGGGGAAACAACAACTGAAAGCAACAAACAACACAATGAAGAACACGTCTTAAACATGGCTTCAAGACTCCCACCCCCGCCGCCCTCACGGAGAAAGTGCTGCAACTTGTTGTGTTTGTGTTGTTTCAGTTGTTCCTTTGTGTTCGTTTGTTTGTTCAGCCCTGGGTATGTGGTTTCTTTGTTTTGTTTTGTTTGGTTGTTCCTTGTGTTTGTTGTTTTTCAATGCCCAAGAGGTTTCGGGGGCCCCAGGAGGCCCCAGGAAGCCCCAGAAGGCCCGACGCTCCTTTCTCAACGCAGTCGGGCAATAATTGGGGTACGTGCTCGAAGCTAGAATATCCGCGAGCGTGCTGCCAGCTTATCTGGGGCTCAGGAGCGCAGGCCACCTCGGGGGCGCTCGCCCCCGTCCGAGCCCGAGCCGACAGCGCAGCCGTCGTTGCGCCCGCTTTAATGGCGCGCTCGCAGCCGCGCGCTCAGGACGAGCCGAGGAAACCCGCGGCCTCCGCCACCACCGCGGGAGAGGGCATGCGAATGTCTGCCGCCGCGTCGCCCTCGCCCATCAGCTGAGAGAGCTCCATGCCCAGCTGCCCGCGGGCAGGGGCAGCAACTGCAGATCCAGAAGAAGACGCCGCCGCGGCCTGTCGCTTGGCTGGGGCCGGGGAGCTCTCGATGCGGAGGGTGTCAGAGAGAGCCGCCAAGTTCCTAAACCTCTTCGTCTCTGGAGGCCGACGCTCACGCTGCGCGGAGATCCGCACGCGCTCGGAGGCGGCGGTCGCTTCGGCTCTGGCCCTGATGGCGTTCTCCACAAAGGCCCGCCCCTCCTGCAGCAACGCGTCCTTGTTCGGCGGCGGCGCGGGGTCCCCCGCCTTGAACAGGCCGCAGAGTCGCTTGCCCTCCGTCGGCAAGTACTCGTCCGAGCTGCAGATCGAGATGCTCTGGGCGTCGGCCTCGTCAGTCCCTGGGGCGCGCCAGCGTGCGCGGGTCTTCGCGCGCGCGAAGAAGCCCGCGCGCTTCCTGAATGCCTTCACACAAGCGCCATTGTTCACTGCCTCCGCGTCCTGCACCTGGTCCGCGACGGCGCGCGGCAAGCCCTTCACCCACTTGGCGGCCCCCCACCGCGCCCAGCACATGGAGCCGAACTGGCCGACGCCCAGCAGGGCCTTGACCATTTTCGAGGGCAGCAGGTTGAGGGGGCCATCATCCAAGAAGCCGCCCAAGGTGAAAGAACCAGGCTCCCCGCGCAGGAAGTCGATCTCGGGCGTCACACGGACGCACGCAGACTCGAAGTCCAGCTCGTGGACGCGGGCGTCGCGGCGGCAGAGCGCGAAGAGGCACGGCCGCCCCAGGGGCGTCTTCCCGAAATTCGGCCCCCCAATGAGCGCGATGGAGCCGGGCGGGCCCATGATTTCTGCCATGACGTTGAGCACCCACGGCTTAAAGTGTTCCTCCGTCAGGGTGGTGCGCCACTCGGTCTCCTTCTTCGCGAGCGAGCCCTCCGCCGCGAGCCCGCTCAGCGCCTTCGCCACCAGGGCGATGGGCCAGCCGCGGAGGGGGGGGCCTTTGCGCAGCGCCTTTGTCTGCCAAATGAATTGCTTCAGGTCGGCCGTGGAGCGGGGCGGGTTCTTCAGGATGTACTCGAAGCCAGCGTTTATGTCTTCGTCTGACATCTCGTAGAACTCGTTCACCTTCGCGCTCGTCTTGAGGTCTGGCGACAAGAAGAACGGGCGAAATTGCCCCCCGTCGAAGCGCTCGAAAGCGCACTGCCACGCCTTGACCCACACCTCGCAGCACGATCGAAAAAAAAGGGAACGAGGGCGCGGCGACGACTGGGCCAAGTTGTCTGTTCTCTGGACCTGGAACAACGGTAGCAAACCACACCGCCGCACCCTCGCCATCCTTTCTCCCGAGCCGTGCACCTCGGGGTGCTGGAAGCAGAGCTTCTTGACGCTCCCGAACGCCATGCTGGCAAAGACGGTCGTCTTCGCCTTTTTAGGGATGACGCAATGCTGGATGATGGTCTTCGCGCCGTCGGGGGGCGTCAGTGATGCACATCTGTAGCGTCACGTGGCTCGGAGGCGCCGTCTTGAACCCGAGCGGCGGCGGCAACTTGTGGTAGTCGTCGCCCTTCGACGCCGCCTTGCATTGCTCGTCCAGCTCGGGGGGGGGGCTGGGTCTGTATGCCCAGTGATGAAGTCAACGTAGTGCACGAGCGGTTTCTCGCGGGCGCCGATGTCGTTGGTGAGCTCACGAAGTGGCTCCATTCGCCATGGGGCAGCACGGCCGTTACCATTGGCACAGGGAGAGTGCGGCAGAACCAGCCCTCTGTCGCCGCCTTGCGGTCCTCGCACGCGGACATGGCGCGGCCTTGAATGGCGCCGGCGGTGTCAGGAGGCGCACGCTTGGCGTTGCGACTGAACCCGCGCGACTACGAGCTGCGAGCTGCGTCGCAAAACGCGCGCAACCCAGCGGCTGCCCCGCCAGAGACTCCCGGGGGACCGCGAGCCAACTTGGGCCCACCATTGCCTCACACTGTTTAGGGGCGAGCGAGCCGCGCCACGCTGGGCCTATCCCTGGACAGCCGATTGGCAGACCTGGGCAGCAGGCGATGGGGAAAGAACGAACAATATCAGAAAGAAGATGATGACGACGCCGACGTGTTCTGAAAGATGGCGTTTGTGGCTGCTGATATGGTTCCCGTCGTTAGCATCGCCGGGACAGGCGGTGTAGAATCTATATGAAGTTATACTTGCGGAGGGGCAGCGCTGGCCGCCGGCTGCCCGCTCGGCGAAGTGGCCGCCCGCTCGCTCCGTCACTGCAGGCGGCGGCGCGAGCCGCGGAGACCGAACAGCGGGCCTGCGCGCGCGCGGTGGCTCGGCTGCGCGCCACCGACCTCGGCTGCGCCAGCCCCAGCGGCGGCGGGGGGGCGAGGGGGCAGGCACGGCGGCGGGGATATTGGCGCGGGGGGGCAACGTCAATAGCAATTGCAGCCGTCGCGGCATCAACGGCGTCCGCAGCGGCAGCAGCAACGTCGCAGCAGCAACGGCAGTGGCGCATCAATGATCATCGCCGATCGCTGATACCGCGATCGCCGATCGGTCTCCGCCGCCGAGATCTGTCCGATCGCTCTCCCCTCTCATCGGCCGCGCGCGCGGGCAGGCGCCCCGCGTCGAACGCCACTGCGCAATGGGAGGGTAGACCGAGCGACTGCTGCGCGATCCACTGCATGCTGTTCCACGTGGTGGACCAGTCGACCTCCGCCGCGTCGAACCACTGCGGGTAGTCGGGCGAAATGAGCGCGACTGCGCGCGTGCGGTCGCGGACGTCGTGGCCGACGCAGTCCGCAATCACTTCGAAGGAACGGCACTCGTGGACAATCGCATCGCCCACTGCGGGGTCGCCCGACACCCGCAGCGGGCCGGCGAAGCTCGGCGCCATGAGGGGGGCCCCCGCCCTCTGGAATTGGACGAAGGCGGGCCAGACGCACGCGGTGAACTTGCCCCGGGGCCAACCGAACGCGCGCGGCTCACTGCAAAATGCGAGGCCGGGTGATTATGGGGTTCACTTCAAACAAAGTAGACGTGGTAGCACTGCCCGCGTCTACGCGGCAAAACAAAAAAACGCCGGGTTCCCCCAGCCCCGGTCCATGCCCGCGGCCCAGCGCTGAGATCGCGCTGGACCAATATTGCGCCGCGCCGAGCCGGGCGGCACGAGGTTGCCAGGCGCGGCGCGGGGGGGATGTGCACTCGAACGCCATGGCCCGAGATTTGCCCCGCGCTAGAGGCTGCGCGGGGATGCCAGATCACTCTGGGCGGAGCCCGAACGCTCGCGGCGACGGAGGGGGCGCGGGTGCTAGACTGGCGACGGCGACGGCGAAAAATGACACATGGAGATGGAAGGAGGGGCGCATGGGCGCAGCAGAACGGCCGACGACGAGGAGTCAACGACGGATACGACTGCGGCGGGGAACAATAACCAGAGGTCAGTCACGCGCGCGCGGGAGTACTCGAGCACTCTCCGAGGGCGCCCGATCATAGCGGGCGGTTCACAGCAGCGGCGAAAGCGCCACCACGCATTCTAAACATATGCTTATATAAGTCAGCGGAAGTGGGGGCAGCGTCACCGTTGGCTGCTCCCCGCGCTGGCGGGGTATGCCCTCAGCACGCCGAGTGCATGACCTCCCAGATTGCGTTCGCGGTCGCCGCCCGCAGGTCCTCGCCCCTGTCCAGCGTTCGAGCTGGGACGAGCGAACAGAAGCCGCGAGGTGCCTGCTGCCTGGGCGGCCTGAGCGCGCGCCGATGAGGGCCTTGATGGATCCCCATGCGGGGTCGATGATCTGGGTCGCCGCCTTGGCCCTGATCGTGGAGCCGCCAGGCAACTTGCGGGTGGCAACCTTCGAGTAGATGGGCTTCAACCGCGCCCGCTTCCCGCCCATTTTCTTCCTCTCCTCGCAGTGCACCGCGCGGCCGCGCACGATGCCCGACGCGCGAATCTTGTAGCTGCGGGCTCCGTCAGAGCGCAGGGTCACCTTCCTGTTCTCCAGGCGGCCCTTCAGGACTGGCGCCCAGTTGGTCTTCTCGATGGCGCCCGGGCCCAGCGCGTTGGCCCCGGGGCCGCCAGACTGCGTCTTCCACAGAACAGAGCTCTCAGGGCGCCCGCGCTCGACGACGCCCGCCCATTGCCCCCGCGTCTTGGAGAGGCCGTCATCGGAGACCTGGGCGCGGAAGACCGACTCGTCCGCCTCCGCGTCAAACCAGCGCCGCTCGGCGTGGTCGCCGAAGACAATGCGGCTCGCCTTCCCCCCCACGCACGTCTGCCGCGCGGGGGCCATGTCCCTGCTAATGCAATGACCATCTCGCGGTCGACTCCCGTCGACAGGTGCATCTGGGCGGCGGCCATGCCGAGCGCGAGGCAGAAGGGGGCCTTTGCCTTCGTCGACCAAATTGACGATTGGCAGCCACCGCCAGACTTGAAGACGCGGTGGGCAGCACACGGGTTGACCGTCTTGCCGCACAACTAGCTACTGCATCGCCAATGCGGGCCGCGACTCGCGCGCCCGGGGCCCCGACGCCGCGGCGCGGGCAGGCGCGGCCTTTCAGGTCAAGCACAACGCCGTCTTCAAGGGGCGCGTCGACCATCCGGTCCGCAGCTTCCCCGTGGAAGTCGTCGCAAGTGCGGGGCCACGTCTCGCGCTCCTCGAGCGATTTCTGAGTCTTCTTGCCGCGGCGCGCGCACTCGACCTTCTTCTTCTCCTTGCCACGGCGCTGGCCCATTCTGTCCTTGCCCCTCTTGCGCCAGGAAGCGGCATGAACGTCCCCGCCGGCTTTTCCTGCGGCGCGGGGGCGGCGGCGGGGCGCTCGATCACGCTTTTCCCCATCGCCGACGGGGGGGGGGCGGTGGCTTGGACGGTCTGTCCAGCAAAAGCGCACTGAGCCAAATGAGCTGCGCGGGTGCCCCGTGGCCTTCCTGATCTGAGGGCTAATCGGCCTACGCTGGTTTAGGCGCAGTTGCGCCCACTGCGGACGCGCGGGCACTCGGGCGACGCGCATGGGCAACGTCGGCGTCCTCGGCCTTCCGAGACCTCAGAGCTCCTGCGCTTCTCGGCGCGCGAGTTGCTCGGTTGGTTGCCGCGCTAGCTCGTCGGCGGTCGCGGTCGCAGTCGTGAGCGTAGTCGCATCAGCGATAGGAGCTGTAGCGGTAGTTGTAGTGGTAATGGCAGCGGCAGCGGCAGTATTATTATTGAATAAGTATTATTGTTCGTAATAGTAGTCGTAGGACTAGTAGTAGTAGGGATAGCGGTAGTTGTAGTAGTAGTAGTAGTGATAATAGTAGCAGTAGTAATAGTAGTCGTATCAGTCGTGGTACTAGTAGTGGCACAATTACCACTGCTACTACTACTACTACTATTACTACTACTACTACTACTACTACCACTACTACTACTACTACTACTACTACTACTATTATTACTACTACTACTACTACTACTACGACTACTGCTACTACTACTACTACTACTACTACTACTACTACTACTACTACTACGACTACCACTACCACTACCGCTGCTACTTCTACTACGACGACTACTACTACTACCACTACTACTACTACTACTACTACTACTCGTACTACTACTACTACTACTACTACTACTACTACTACTAGCAGTAGTGGTGGCGGTAGTAGTAGTCGTAGCACTCGTAGTAGTGGTAGTAGCAGTACGGTAGTAGTAGTAGTAGTAGTAGTAGTAGTAGTCGCCGTCGTAGTAGTTGTAGCAATAGTAGTAGTAGTCGTAGTCGTGGTAGTATTGGTAAATGGTAGTAGCAGCGGTCGCCGTAGTAGTAGTGGTAGGAGTAGTAGTAGTAGTAGTAGTAGTAGTAGTAGTAGTCGTAGTCGTAGTAGTAGGAGTAGAAGTAGTAGTAGTACTACTACTACTACTGCTGCTACAACTACCACTACCACTACGACTACTACCACTACTACTGGTACTACTACTACTACTTCTACTACTACTACTACTACCACTACTACTACTACTACTACTACTACTACTACGACTACTACTACTACTACAACTACTACTATTACTGACACTACGACTACTACGACCACTACGACTACTACGACTACTACTACTACTACTACTACTACTACAACTACTACTACTACTACTACCACGACTACTACTACTACTACTACTACTACTACCACTTCTACTACTACTACTACTACTACGACTACGACTACGACTACCACTAGCACTAGCACGAGTGGTAGTGGTCGTCGTTGCGGTGACGGTTGTGGCGTAGTAGAAGTAGTAGAAGTAGTAGTAGTAGTAGTAGTAGTAGTAGTAGTAGTAGTAATAGTAGTAGTAGTAGTAGTAGTAGTAGTAGGTGTCGTCGATGTTGCTGGCGTTGTCGCTGTGGCAGCAGCAGGTAAAGCAGGAGCAGCAAATGGGGGGGGAGGCAAGGGGGGGGCAGAGAAAAAACGGGCGCGGCCCCCAAGGAGGGCGTAGCAGAATGCGTTGTCCTCTTTTTTTCTGCCACGCGCCGCGGCGCCGCTCGCGCGCTCCCCGCTGCCCAGGAGCTCGGCCCCCCCACAGCGCCACCTCTGCCTCGAGGTAACGGTTCCTCTCCTGGAGGCGCCGGCACTGCCTCCTCGCGTCGGTCACCTCCTGATGACAGCCGTGCTTTCCACTGTCGCCATTGCAGACCGCGGGCGGACGACCTACGGTAGCATCCTGCTGCGCGAGACGCTAGTCGCACCCAACAGTCGCCACTGTATGTCCACCGCCCGTGGTCTCGAGTGGCCGCGGTGAAAAGTACGCCAAAAGCCTGGGAGCGCACCAAGTTCAGCTTCACCTCCTCTCTCGTGAGCGCGTTCTGCGCCGCGGTCATCTTCTTCTCCGCTCCCCCTCGCCGCTGCGTCTCCTCGGAGAGGGGGGGGGGGACGCGGGGTGCACGTTGTTGCCGTTGCGTTTTTACTTAATCAAAGGTGACAGGGATTACCGCAAAGATCCTGCGGCGGGAAGGCAATATTCCTGTTCTTGGCCTGCTTCCAGGCGGTCTTCGCCCCGTCCTTCCAGGACTGCGCCTCGCCCCGCGCGCTCTTGGCCTTCCGAGTGCGCTCGTGTGAGCGTCTCCTGTGGACGCGCCACCAAAAATATACGCTATCTAGCGCCCCGCAGAAGCAACACGACTCGGAAACAAAAAATGACGCTCGTGTGATACACTGCGATTCCGAATCGTGCCGCTTCTGCGTGGCACCAATTGGATGTTGGGTTGTGGTGTGTGTGGGTTTTGGCATCATGGTCTTCAGGGAGTCTTCTTTGTTGCTGCGCTGCTCCGTCGCCCAGCGGACCGCCGCGCGGACCTTGTCAAAGGCCGCGCGGCGGAAGATCGCCACCAGCTCCGTGGTCCGAGGTTGTTGCAGGAACGCGCGCAGCCTCTGTTTGGCTTGGTACTCTCTGTTTGTTCCCCAAGTTGTTTGTAGTAGGCGTCGGTATCTGTTGCTGGGTTGCCCATGGCTCCAAGCCGTGGGCTTTGTAGCGGGGCTCTGAGCCTGAACACCTATGTTTGCCCGTGGCACAGGTTGCATGCAATTGCTTCCACTTTTCCATGTTTTTTCTTCCATCCCATGCTTCATTATCTTCCCATCCCTGTCCTCCTCCATCCTCCTCCACCTCGTCCTCGCCCTCGTCACCGCCCCCCTCCTCCACCTCCTCCTCCTCCTCCTCCTCCTCCTCCTATTCCTCCTCCTCCTCCTCCTCCTCCTCCTCCTCCCCCTCCTCATGAGAGGAAGGGGCACGAGCGGCAGCTGCAGGCGAGGAATACGATGAGGACGACGCCTTTGAAAAAATGATGAATAATCAGAATAAGAAGATAAAGAAGAAGCTGAATACGAAGAAAACTAAGACAACGAAGAGGAATAAGGATACGAGACATAGTAATAACACGAAAAGACGAAACTGTATGATCAGGGGGCGCGCGACTATATATATCTATATATATATATATACATATACACACACATACATACATACATACATACATACATACATACATACATACATACATACATACATACATACATACATACATACATACATACATACATACATACATATACATATACCTATAGAACCCACATTAGAATCCACCTTAGAATCCACATCCACGCCCCCTATCCACTTAGCACCCCCAGCTGTCATCTCAGCTGGTGACCCACATCCCCCCTTTCAGGTGGTTTCGACTCGACCAAATGTTGGAGCCCAGCTCGGGGGTATAGGGGGGACGTCCATCCTATAAAGAGGTGCGTCCGAATAGCCCCTGTGGAGGTGTATCCCAGAGTCCCCCTTCTGTTCTGAGCGGCAAACGTTTTGGGGGAAGTCGGCGTCTGGGGAAGAGACATCGCCTGCGATATCGGCCCAGAATCGGCAGTGCATCGCCGACAGGTCGGGTGTTGCCCAAGGTGTCTGTATAGAGGCCTCCTTCATGGGTCCGAGAAGATGGGGTCGGAGGATCCGGCCGCATCACCGATGCATTGGCGACGTTTGAGATGCCTCGGCGACGTCGGCGTGGAGAAGATCGGGTTACGCATCGAGCTGCATAGGACCACATCTCTCAAGGCGACGCGAGACTCGGGTTCGGAGGACTCGGGTTGGCCTGACGAAGGCGTCAAGAAGACAACGAGACCCAATCTCAGATTTGACGAGGGCCCCCGCTGCAAACATCCCAGGGAAAATGACCGTCAAATTCCAGGAATGGCTGTAGAGGAAACGCGACAGGGGCGGCGTTGGAGGCGCCGCCAGGGGGGGCCCAGCGCAGATCCAAGAAATCCGCGCAAATCGCCAAAAGTTTATGTTTGTCGCGTGTTTGTTCTTCTTCGAGACTCGTCGGAAAGGATCTTCGAGCCCGAGCTCCAGCGAACTCGAGTCTTATGGCCATCCCCGATCCCAGCGAGACCCGATCCTTGGCGGCAGCGGGGCCACGGGGCACCGCCGAAGCGTCCGCGAGAAGGCCAAAGACAGCGAGTCTAGCGCTCCTGGGCAGGGCGGCGTGCACGCCGTGCCCCCGTCGGCAGTGCAGGGGCGATGGTGCAGTCGACCCGGATGGTAAGGATGCGCAGTAGGGAGGCAGGGGCCTCGGAGACCCATTTCCAAGCTTTTCGAGCGGGGCGCGGCCAACGAAAGTAGCCAAGGCTGGACCGAGGAGGCAAGGATGCGAGGGCACCCTTGGGAGGGTTGCCCATCCTGACCTATGCGGTTTGACTGTAGGGGGAGGCAGGAGGGCTTCTTGGAAGGAGGCTGCTTCTTAGAAGGCGCTGGCACTGCATCTACAGATGAGGCCCGCGCATTCTAAGAAACAGGGTGGTTCTAAGAAGCCTTGCCCCCTACCACTAACCCCCTCTGCGCGTGGCTGACAGTCTGCAGGGACAGGGCGATCGTAGAGGATCAAACAACAAAATACACATAAACGTTTGGAGGTCCGCGCGGATTTCTTGGATCCGCGCTGGAACCCCCCCACGGAGAGCGCCAGGGACGGCGCCGGAGGCGACGCCAGGGGGGCCCAGCGCCGATCCAAGAAATCCTCGCGGAACTCCAGAAGTGTATGTACACGTTTCTCTTTAATCGAGATCGGGGATGAGCGCTTATGATCAGCAATGCAAGGGCCCCTAACCCTTTGGCAGGGGACCTAAGTTAGGAGGGCCAGGAACATCGGGGATAGGGGGGCCCTTTCTGCAAGTGCACCAGGTCAGACTACCCAGGTGTATGATCCCCAGAGTGCGGAGACGGGGACGTGTGTATGATGGTGCAGAGTCCGGGGACTACCCAGATGTATGATCCCCAGAGTGTATGATCCCCAGAATGCGGAGACGGGGACTACCCAGATGTATGATCGCCGTGAGGCCGCGTCTGCAGCGTGTTCTTAGGGTCAGGGGCTCTTCTGTCCTCGAGGAGCTTCGGCCCCAAGGAGTCGGCGGTGCATCGCCGACGGGTCGGCAGGGAGGCCCCCGACACTGCATCGAGCGCTCCCGGGCAGGGCGGGGTGCATCGAGCGCTCCCGGGCAGGGCAGGCCGGGCCGACCGTCCTGGCATGCCCACAGGCCTACCACGACATGCTCTTAGAACACAACGACGCTCTGATAGGAAAAACAGTGCCCTTAGAACATAAGCCCGACGTGCTGAAACAAGACAGTCTCGGCCAGAAGCGCTCTGAGGACACTTCTCGTGCAGACGACAAGAGGGTCGAACATGCTTTGGTGGGCCTCTGGGCGAGCCAGGACGCTTCGCCGCTGCCTGACACGCCGAGCCCCGGCCCGGCAGTGACCGGGCGGTCGGGTCAGATGGGCGCCTCGGCCTCCACGGCCAGGCCCCCACCCAACCCACCCCCGCCTCTAGAGCTGACCGCCGCCCCTGGCGCCCCGCCCCGCTCGGGAGCGGCCAAGAGGGGGGTGTCTAAGAGGGGGGGGTGCAAATCATGACCGGCGGCATGTGCGCGGCCCAGGGGGGGGGCAGGGGCGTAAAGAAACAAGAAGAGGCGCCATGAAATCTGGGGAAATATCATGGCCCACGCCATGATATCCAACCCCTCCTAGTCATCACCCCCCTCTTTTCCGCCCCCGACTGGCGCCCCGCCCCGCCCCCGGGGGGGGCTCTCCCCCGGAAAAAGCGCAGTCGGCCACGGGCCCCCCCCGTGGCCAGAGGAGCTGCAGAGCTGCACGGGCGGGGACGCTCGGGAGCGGGCCCCGAAGGGCACGGGCCCTGGACCCCCGGGCCTCCCCCCAGGGGCCAGCTCTTCCTCCTGAGTACAGGGCAGTTTTTAATACATGGGATTTTTTAAATATAGGATTTTGAAACACATGATCAATTTACGAATAAATTGATGCATGAACTCATCGCTGTTTGTAATGCTAAATCCTTGCATTTTTAATACATGACCCGCACGCGGAGCATGTATTAAAAACGGCACTGCAGTTTTCTGAATCCTGGGGATGGTGGAGGGCCCCGAGAGAGCCCCAGAACGGCGAAAACCGCCAAGACCCGTCTCTTCCCTCAGGACCCCCGCTTCCTCTATGGCGGCAAATCCTCGGAATATCACAACCATCGGTTCGGGTCGGGCCGGCTGGAATCGGTGTCGCGTCGACATCACATCGGATCCGAATGGATCCTGTCCAGAAAGCAGCCTCGCCTCCTGCTGCTGCTGCTGCTGCTGGCCCGCCCCCATCTCGCCCCTCCTCCTCCTCCTCCTCCTCCTCCTCCTCCTCCTCCTCCTCCCCCTCCTCCTTCCCCCCCCGTTCTCTCCTCGTCCTCATCATCCGCCTGTCATGCCTCCTCCTGCTCCCCCACGTTTCCTCCAACGCTCCCTCATCTCCCCTCCCCGTTCTCCCCTCAGGAGGCAGGGTCAGTCAGCATGGAATCGGTAAATCGCATTAGAGAGGAGCGTGCGTCGGATCGGGCCGCATTGGCAGGAAGTTGAAATCGAATCGGGTCGGCGGCGCCAAGATACAAAACGACGCCATGAGAGCATTTGGCCGCATCAGATCCTCGGACTCGGAATCGAATCGGATCGGGCAGGGCGAATCACATCGAATCGATCGAATCGGCCTAGACCCTTGACTGAATCCTCAAACCTCGAATCGCGATCCTCCATCCCCGCCTGGGCGTGCTCACGCGTCGACCACGCGCCGTGGCAGCGGCCCTCGAACGTGTCCGACCCCACACTCGGACCACCCACGTAGATGCCGGCCGTGAATGTGGCGGTAGTAGTAGTGTCTGGCCGACGGTGGGAATCGCAGCAGAAAAAAAGTGTCGACCAAGGGAAATGAGACTTACGTGCGAGGGCACGGTGGCCTTACGCGATGGCTCACGCGGGACGCTAACGCGACACACCGTGGAAAGGATGGCGCTTACGGACGACCACACGCGGGCAACCTACGCGCGAATATCGGCGCAATGGACTCCCCATATCCCCCACATCTGGCTCCCACACGTAGCTTGCTCTTGCTCATTCTCCTGCCAGCCAAGCGCCATCCTTCACGTAACGCGTGGACGCCCTCCTTCCCCTCCCCCCCCTGCGTCCTCCCTCGCCACTTTTCATCAGTCGCCACATCCGTCCCCCTCCAGTGCTGCCCCTCCGCACGTTTCCTCGCCCACCCAACACCCCGTCCTCCCACTCAGGTCCCCACTTCGCTCCTTCTGTTACTCTTCCCCCCTCCCCTCCTGCCCCCCTCGCCCTCCCCGCTCCCACCCCGAGCCTCCCCCTGCCCGCTCAGACTCCCGACGAGGAGGAGGAGGAGGAGGAGGAGGAGGAGGAGGACCAGGAGGAGGAGGAGGAGGAGGAGGAGGAGGAGGAGGAGGACGAGGAGGAGCAGGAGCGCTGGATCCGAGTGGGCGCTGCCCAGCGGCGCTCCGCCCTGCACGGCCCCGGCACGCCCGCGCCAGGGGGGCGCCGCCGCTCTGGCGGGGCGCGCGAGCCCGCCGTGTGGGCGCGCGCATGCGAGGACCTCTGGTGCGGGGCCCTGTGGCCATCGGCGGTCGGCCCCCCCCCCCCAGGGGAACGGGTCGACCGTGCGGTCGGGTTGCCTCGCCGGGTCCGCCCTGCCAAATCAAGGGCAGCCTTGCGTCCTGTGTGGAGCGACTCGTGCCTGCTATAAGGTCGTCTTGGAACGTGGCCCTCAGGAAAGTGTTGTCCTGTCGCGCGTCCTCTCCAACCCAGCACGCCTGTACATAGGAACCTCGCAAGTGGCATCGCGCAGCACCGTCGATGCCTCGCGCTGAATAGGCGCCGTCGCTGGTGCATTAGCGCCGTCGGCGTGGAGAATGTCGCATCGAGCAACATCGCAGATGCATCGGCGATGGGGCGCGATCCTCGGGGATCTTCTGACCCGGGTCAATCCAGACCCGAGTCAGTTCGGCCTTGCAGAATCATGCAAACTCCTGCGAGATCCTGCATCCAAACCCGGGTCGGTGCGAAGGATCTTGCAAGATCCTGCAGGATCTCCCGCGCCCAAACCCGGGTCAGTGTTCCCCTGGCCCTGCAGGATCCTGCAAGATCTGGCGCCCTGGCTGACCCCCGTTTGCATTGACCCCTGTCTCTGGAGCCCCGAGGTTTAGGTCGGGCATGCACTACAGTGGGATTTTCGACGAAAATTAAAAATAGTCGAGAAATATGCAAACATGGCTCAAAAATGCACAAAAAATCGTCCCCAGACTACTGTTTGACGATGCTTGAATATTCCTCCTGTAGAGGGGCATGCCCGACTTAAGGCAAGGGGCTCCGAAACTGTGCGTCAACGCTGCGGTGCCCCAGGGCGCGGAAGCGGCAAAAGCAGGACGAAGGCCATCGACAAGCGCGTTGCACTACTCGCAGAGTAGCTGCTCGCAGATGTGCAAAATTCGCCGCGGGGGATTCACGCTCCATTGCATCGAGGAAGACATGTTGCTGTTCTGGACGTTTGCGAGTACAGTGGAGGCCAGTCCACAAGAAACCTTCCACCAGAGACCCAACCCCGAGACCACAGGACGGCCGCTGATGTTTGACGTGGGAACGTCACGCTTTCCGAAAAAACGAAAACATCAAAACCCAAGAAAACCAAGGCACCCTGGAGGCAGGCAAACCGGGTGTTTCTTGGCATGGGCCCCCACTGTACTCGCGAATTGGTAATATCCACCGCGGGGGATTCACGCTCCATTGCATCGAAGAAGACACGTCTCACACGTCTCCACACGTCTCACGCATCTCCATTCACGCTCCATTGCATCGCACACTTCTCACACACCCGACCTTCCTCAAAGCGTTCGCTCTAGTTCTCGATACGCGAACCATAGCATCATGATGCGCTGCGCAGCTAAACAACGTATCGCTGGCGCGAGCACAAGTTGTCATACCCACAAAATCCCCCCCTCTCCTGAAGCGACCAGACTGACGCTCGTGGTGGAACTGGTATCCGTCACTTCCTGGGGCGAATCCGTTGGCAACACTGAGTTTGCAGATACACTGCGACGGCTTCACGTGATCTAGCGAATTCTACAGTGCCAATGCGAAGTCCCATACGAAGCTGCCCCTTATCAATAACAAAGGCGCACTCTCCCCTCCCCTGCCTCTTCCTCGCTGGTTCCCTCGCATCATTCTCCCTCCTCCATCGCCCCTCCTATCTCCTCCCTCCCTCCCGCGTCCAATTCCTGATTGGCGCTCAGAACTGAAAACGGTGAGCTGGAGGGATGGGTCGAGGGTGGTCAGAACGTCAAGAGGGTATGATGATTCGGCGAAGGACCAGGCGAGCTGAGGAGAGAGAGAGAGAGAGAGCGAGAGCGGGATATACATATATATATATATATATACAGAGAGAGAGAGAGTGACGGAGAGATAACGGCACAACGATAAAGTAAGACAGGGACAAAGACACAGACAGACAGGAAGGGGGGGATACGATACACATCTATGTAGATATAAATGCACAGGGAAATGATAGAGAGAGAGAGAGAAAGGGACAAAGAGAAAGAGAGAGAGAGAGAACAACACAACCACAGAAACAACAACAACAACAACAACAACAACAACAACAACAACGACGATCATCTCAAGACTGTTCGCTCTTACTGGCACGCGTGGTCTGCATTCTGTATACCCCAACCCTCGATACCCGCCAACTTCGTCTTCGATCGCACCTCCTTTCGATGGAAATATCTTCCTTGTCGGTCACTGACTACATGGCGAAGAACTCTCGAGCGAGAGCGCCGTTCCTGAGTTCGGGGGCCTCTCTGGCCAGGCCAGGGGTTCTCGGAATACAGATTGAGAAATATCGATCGGGAACCTTTGTCGCCGTGTCTGGGCCTCCACCAACTTGCCCGAATTACGAGAAAATCTCAAGCGATAGAGCCACTCTTGAGTTCGGGGGCCTCCCTGGCAAGGGCCTCTGCGAATACATCTTGAGGAGGTATCGAACGAGCGCCCTGGTCGTCGTCCTTGGGCCTCCACCAATCTGACTGAATCGTAAGCAAGTTTCGAGCGAGAGCGCCGTGCCTGAGTTCGGGGGCCTTCCTGGCCAGGGCGCTCGGAGGAAATCGTGAGGAAGCATCGGGCAGGATCCCCTGTCGTCGTGTCTCGGCCCCCGCCAGCTTGACCGAATTGCGAGAGCGCCGGGGCCTCTCTGGCCAGGGTGTCTCGGGGTGAAGAGTGGGGAAGTCTCGAGCGGGAGCCGTTGTCGTCGTAGATGGGCCTACAAGGGCCCACTTTTACGCTCAAGCCAACGCTCGAGCGGGAGCCCCGCTTTCAGAGAAAGTGTAGGCGGCGTCGACGCGAGAGCGCCCGGAACCGTCTGGAGATCAGCAATAATTATTCTCTAGAAATGAATACTCGACAACAACAACAACAACAACAACAACAACAACAACAGCAACAACAACAACAACAACAACAACAACAACAACAACAACAACATTCATGTTAGGATTGTTCGCTCTGTTCTGCTCGCGCGCCATTCAACACGTATATCCCACACCCTCGGTACCCGCCCACTTCGTCGTCGATCGTACCCCCCTGGGGGTGTATCCTCCTTACCTGCCGCGTGAGTTTAGTGCAGCCCCTGAACCAGGGGAAGAGAGGACGGATGGAAGGCGGAGGGAGAACGATGGAGCACGATAGAAATTACCAGGAATGGGGCTAGGAGCAGGAACGACGTGGCAAAACTAGACGGGCAGATCGGGCGGGCAGACCCCAGCGGGCGGGTCGGGAAGGCGGGCCCGGGCGGCCAGGTCGAGCAGGCGCGTTGCTGAAGCGTGCGTCTTGCATGAATCGCGGGAAGACTTGGGCGATAGCGCGATTCCCTAGTGAATCGTGAAATCCACAGCGAGAGCGTGATTCCTGAGTGTCGAGGGCGCGGCGTGCGCGATTCCTGTATAAAATGTGAAGACATCCCGTTCGAGCGCTCGATTTGGGAATACATAATGAGGAGGTATCAGGCTGGAGCCGTTGTTGTTCCTGTTGTTGCGGGGGTCAGGGGCCCAGTTTGGTGACACCTCACTTCCCCTCGTGCAAAAAACAAGGTTCGAGCCCCGGGACAAGCACTGTAACAACAACAACGGCAACAACAGCAACAACAGCACCAACAACAGCAACAACAACAACAGCAGCAGCAACAGCTACAGCAACAACACCACCACCAACGACAACAATCAGTTTAAGACTGTTCGCTCTCACCTGCCCTCAGGCCGTTCGATTCGTATATCCCAAGTCCTCGGTACCCGCCTTGGGAGTTTTTGTCTTTCTTACCTGCAACGTGTATTTCGTGCAGCCCCTAAGGCAGGGGAAGCGAGGACGGATGGAAGGAAGGGACAAGGGGAAGGGAGGAGGATGGAGCACGAGAAAGAAAGAGAGTAACAGGAGGGGGGCGATCAGCAGAATACACATGGCATAACCAGACGGGCAGATCGGGCGGGTCGACCCTATCGTATCTGATTATGGTTCTCCTCTGTCTCTAGTTTTCTTCTCGGGCGGGCCAGGAAGGCGGGCCCAGGCGGCCAGGTCGAGCAGGTGGGTTGCTGAAGCTTGCGTCCTGAACGAATCGCGAGGGATTCTCGGGCGATAGCGCGATTCCCAAATAAATCGTTTGGAAATCCAAAGCGAGTCTGATTCCTGAACATCGAGGGCGCGACGTCTGAACTCAGCTGCGAGCAAGTCCCACGCGAGAACGCGATTCCGGCATAATGTGTGAGGGAATCCCGCGCGAGAGCGCGATTTGGGAATACACTGTGAGGAAATATCAAGCGGGAGCCGCTGTTGTTGTAAACCGGGAGCCAGGGGCTCAGTTTGGTGACACCTCACCTTCCCAGTATAAAACACAGGGCGCGACTCCAGGGAGAAGCACTGACATTGAAAAACATAGTGTGCACCGGTGAGGAGATCCACCATTATTATTATTATTCAGGAATGAGAACTGAATACCAACACCAGCAATAGCATCAGCAGCAACAACAGACAAAGATGTTAAGACTGATCGCTCTTACCTGCTCGCGTGCCACCAAACACGTATATCCCAAACCCTCGGTACACGCCCTCTCCTTCTTCGGTCGTAACCCATCTGAGGGCCTATCTTCCTTACCTACCACGTGTATGTCGTGCAGCCCCTGTAGCAGGGGAAGAGAGGACGGACGAAAAGGGGAGGGAGGAGGATGGAGCACGGGATTAGCAGGAGGGGGGCTAAGAGCAGAAAGCACGTGGCAAAACCTGACGGGCAGATCGGGCGGGTAGACCCTAACGGGCCGGTCGGGAGCGCTGGTCCAAGCAGCAAGATCGAGAAGGCGTTTTGCTGAAGCGTGCGTCCTGCATGAATCGCGAGGAAAGCTCGGGCGATAGCGCGATTCCCAAGTAAATCGTGGGAATGCCAAAGCGAGAGTGTGATTCCTGAATCTCGAGGGCACGACGACTGAACTCAATTGCGAGCAAGTCCCACGCGAGAACGCGATTCTTCTATAACTTTAATGAAGTCCCGCGCGGGAGCGCAATGTTGGAATACACTGTGAGGAGGTAATTACCTGCATCAGGCGGGAGCTGTTGTTGTTGTAGTTTGGGGTCATCAATACAGTTTGGTGACACCCCACTTCCCCTACATAAAGAAAAAGAGTGCGAGCCCTTGGGGGGGGACTTCAATTGAAACCTTGCATTGGTTACACGGGGGATCAACAAGACATGGTCTGTAGAAGCGGGAAATCAACAACAATTTCAACACCAACAACAACACCAACGACGACAACCACAACAAACAAACAACACAAACACCATCAACAACACCAACAACAACACAAACAGCATAAACAATAACATCAGCAACAGCAACACCACCAACAACAGCAGCAGCAACAACAGCAAAACCACCAACCAAACACACCACGACCAACAACAACACCAACAACAACAACAACAGCAACCGCAACAACAACAGCAACAACAACATCAATCATTTTACCCGAACGCTCAGTGTTCTCCCCAGTGCCAGGGTTTTCATGCGACGCCAGCCAATACCCCCACTTCGTGGGGGGGCAATGCAAGCTCTACCAAACATCCACACGACTCTCGGGAACCACCCACACCCAGCTTCCCGCCCTATGACGTCAGGACACTTCACTTCGTGGCGCGCGGACGATCGTGGATACTACACTGGCGTGGAGTACACACCCGCAGAGGTTGATCACTTGTTTGGGCCCCGCATGTGCCCCGCATGGTGCATTTGTTGCGTATGACATACATAGTACAGAGAGACAGAGAGAGAGAGAGAGAGAGAGAGCAAGACAGAGAGCCAGTGGAGAGAGAGATAGAAAGTCTTGCGTTTGCATATGTTTTCGGAACATCGCATCTTGAAATTATTGAAATCACATTATGTTTGGCAGGATTTCGGCACGCGCGCGCGGCGGCCGCGCGCATGTGCACTTCGTGTCATTTTTTGCAAGGGATGGTGGCCCTCGTAGGCTCGCAACCGTTGTTGCAGAAGGTCGAAGCACCTGAAAAGGTTCCTCGCAAAGGCCCTTTTAACAGAAATGTTTAAAATCTGGTGGGTTTCCTAGGAATCCGCAAGAGCGCGCGGAAGGACATTTTGACAATTTTTTCTGAGAAAACCATTGGGTTTTTGATGTTTTTATGTTAAAATCGCTACGAAACCTAAGGTTTTGGAAGGATTTCGTCTTGCGCGCACGAATGTCCACTTTACCTTATTTTTTGCAAGGGATTCTTGCAATTTGATCAAGTAAGAACAAGAATTTTCATTTTATAGTGTTTTTTGCAAGGGAAAACGGATTACAACAAAACAACCGGATCCGGTGACAATCCACTTTTCTGAAGCTTTCGCTAGAAAATGAAGGAAATGAGGCTGCGGCCTAGGTTTTGGAGGGGGGTCGCGCACCAGGGGTCTCAACAATAATATTTCTTTAGAAGTAATAATATTCAACACCACCACCAACAACAACAGCAACAACAACTAGAGTTTTGAGCAATGCAAAAACTGGGAGGCGGAGGCGTGAGATGACGAGGGGAGTGGGAAACAAATGAGCTGAGGGCGGGGGGGGCAACAGGACACTGGGGATGAGGCGGAGGTGGAAAGATGGAGATGAAGGGCGAAGGGGACGGTTGGAAGGAGGGACCAGAGTCACCAGAGATGACGATGAAGAAGAGACGGGGGAAGAGGTGGAGAGGGGGGAAGAAGCGCAAGGTAGCACGAGGGGCGAAAAGGGGAACACGACGGCACGGAGGACGCGGACGAGAACATGGAACGAGGAGCACCACACGAGCAAAGGGAGGCGTGCGGCCAAGATCGGCTGGGCGGGGGGGGGCGGCACGGGTCCTCTGCCTTCAGCATGGTGCAAGCGTCCTCGGCGCGGCGCAAACCCCCCGCAACAGCCCGACCAGTCCCAAGGGCCACCGGGGACGAGGAGCGGGAGGCGACGATGGGAAGGCGACCAGGGAGAAGTGAGGGCACAGACCCCTCGAACCACTCAAAAAAACACGACGGAAGGGTATCGCGATGTCCGGCCTCTGGGGGCCCTCACCAAGCCTCGGGACAATCAAAAAACGACCCACTGCGGAAGGCGGCAGCCTCTCGAAGCATTCCTGTTTGAACCAAATCGCGTCGGTCGACACGACGTTCCATGACGCGAAGCATCTGCAGCCCTCCTCGGGTCTGCGGCGCATGCTGGCAGACCCGTCTGTTCGGCCAGCTCATTTGTACAAGCAAATGACCACTTGCCATGGCCCAAAGAAGCTCTTCATCATGATCCAATACTCTCCCCATTTGCGCGCGGCCACCTCGTGAGTTGACCAGACACCATGGCAATACCCCTTTATGAGCTTCTCAACGCCATGGAGGTAGCGTGCAGATTCTTTCATCGAGCTGCCCAATCCTTGTCCCCGATCGGTCGGCATCTCCCGTCGGCGTAGTTGCAGAGCTTGAAGCGGGACTTGTACGTCACAGACACTCGGGCTCCGACTGTGCGCATCCGTTTGCGCACCATTCTCTCAGGCGAATCCGTCTAGGGTCGCCTCTCGCCCTGCCTGGGCTCCTCTCCGAATGGCTTGAGCGAGGTCCTAAAACCAAAAGCGCTCGACCTCGGCACCTCCATCGCCCCGTCCTTATTCATGTGATACGCGATCGCCGCCAGCACCGACGACACGACGTGACTGTTGAGGCTCCATACTCCACCGCCTCTCGAGAAATCAACGCGCACGTCGATCTCGCACCAAGCTCCAGCAACAGTGCCCATGACTGCCAAAACCTTATGTGGCACCGCTGGCCTCATGAACGTGGTCTTGCTGCTAATGATAAGCCCGAGCGCGTCCATGTGCTTCGCGGGCGTCTCGCGGCACATCGGCTGCGCCCCGATGGCTGCCACCTGCTCATTCGGCCCTACTTTCGCCACCGCCGCCCGCCCCGTCTCCGACCATATCATGGCACCACATCCACGTCGTCTGTAGGCGCCGCGCGCGCCCGACCCCGCGTTTGCGCGTGATTCCCTTCGCCGCTGCCGAGCCCGTCTCCAGCTCAACCATGACTGGGCATGGCTCGCCTCTCACCTTGGCCGCCCCTCGCGTCGCGCGCATGATGGCCGGGCCCCTTGCCGCGCCTGAATCCAGATCATAGAACTCCGCCCCCCCGCTCGATAGTGCGACCGCAGCCTGCGATCGCACCCAGCTCCCCGGCACACGCGACCCCCATTGAATGCCACCTGAGGGCGCGCTCTTGCAGGCCGCCTCGAATCCAGCCCTGTCTGCGCACACGGAGATCGCCACCACTTTGGCCGCCTCCGGGCGGGGGTGAAGGCGATGGCGCCCACCGCCTCTTTCAGGCATCGAACCGCCCTCCTCTGCTTGAGTCGGCGCCTCGCACTCCTTTCGCCGTGTGCTTCGAGCTTGGCGAGCCCGATCTCTGCGCGCTTCCACTCATATCCCTCGGCCATCCTCAGATTCGGCCTCGGGCTGGCAGGATGTGGAAGCCCTCCTCGCCCCAGAGCGCCGTCTAATTCAGGGGCGCACCCTCAGCTGCTCCATCGCGCCCGACTAGCGGCTGGGGCTTCACCTTTAAAGGACCGGCCACGACCTCGTCGAACTGGCCGCGCCCCCCATCGAACGTCTCCACCGCGCGCCCCCCTGACATGCGCCGAGCGAGTCGGCCTTCACACTGCGCCACAGGCAACGCACAGTCATGAGCTCCTCACGCCCGCGCCTGCCGAAGTTGCCTCGCGCCCCGCCTTGGAACTCCATCGGCGCCTCTGCCGTGCCAGGCATCGCCTTGTTCGACTTCCAGAGTGCGCCTGGCCGACGCCGCTCGGGCGGGGGCCCGCGGCGCTGCGGCCCCATCGACACTCCGTGGAAAAACGCAACCGAGATGTCGGAGTGATCCACCGCCGCTTTACTGTGGAAAATTCACCCCCCCTCTTCTTCCGGAACCCGCCCCCCCCCCGCTGGACCCCCGCCCAACCCCTCCCCCCCCGCGCAACACCCCCAACTCCCCTGACCCCCCCCCCCCCCCCTCCAAAAAACAAAGGAGGGGTCACTGCCAACACGAACCCCCCCTCCGGAAAACCGCGGGAGGCCGCCGCCGGTTCGAACCCCCCACCAAAAAAAACAATGGGGGGGCACTGCCGGTTCGAACCCCCCCCCCTCCAGAAAACCGGAAGGGGGTCGCCGCCGGTTCGACCCCCCCCCGGGCCCCCCCGAAAACCGAAGGGGGTCACTACTGTTTCGACCCCCCCCCTTGAAAACCGGCGGGGCGCTACCGGTTCGAACCCCCCTCTTCGGAAACGGGAGGGGGGGGGGGGCACTGCCGGTTCGAACCCCCCCCCCGCGCTCACCGCCAGCAAACGACTCCCGGGCCCCTGCCACCGTCCGCGCCACTTCCCAACTGCTGTCCCCAGCACCTGTCCTCACCACCACTGCCCCCGCCGTTCCCACCACCGCCCCCACTTCCCCCATCAGTGCCCCCACCACTGTCGCACTGTCCCCACCTCTGTTCCCACCACGGTCCTGGTTCCACTCTCCCCACTTTCTCCACGACCCCAACCGCTGCCCCACTGCCCCCATTGCCCCACTGTCCCCGCCGCTGTCCCACTGAGCTGTCCCGCTGTTCACTGCCCGCCACTGTCCCCAGTCCCCACCACTGTCCCCGCTGTACCGCTGTCCCATTACCCCACCGCCGCCCTCGCCACCGTCCTCAACGCTGCCCCCACCACCACTGCGCCCTCCACTGTCCAACTGTTTCCACCACATTCCCACTGCAGTGCCCTCCGCACCGCTGCCCCCACCACCGCCGCCGCCCCCGCCACAGCCCCACTGTCTCCATTGTTCCCGCTGCCCCCACCAGTGCCCCCAGTGTCTCACTGCCCCCACTCTCCCCACCAGTGTCCCACCGCGGCCCCGCTCTCCCCACTTCCCCCACGGCCCCCACCACTGTCCCACTGCCCCCACTGCACCCGCCACTGCCCCACTGCCCCCGCCGCTGCCCCACTGCGCTGCCCCGCCGCCCCCGCTGTCCCCATCGCTGCCCCACTGCCCCCACCGCTTTCCCCGCTGCACTACTGCCCCACCACTGTCCTCACCACCGCCTCCACCACTGCCCCCACCACTACCGCCCCCACCGCTGCCCCACTGCCCCCGCCACTGCCCCGCTGCCCCCTCGCCGCCGCCACCGCCGCCACCGCCCCCACCACTGTCCGCGCCACTGCCCCACTGTCCCCGCACCGCTGCCCCCGCCGCCACCGTTCCCGCCACTGCCTCTGCACCCTCGCCATTGCCCCTCGAGGAGCGGGAATCGCTTGCCGGCGGGGGGGGGGGGGGGGGGGCGAGCCGGTAGCGACCCCCCCACCCTCCCCTCGGTTCTCGAGGGGCTGGGAAGAGGGGTGGGCTCGAACCGGCAGCGACCCCCCCCCCCCACCCCGGTTTTCGAGGGGGGGTGGGGTTCGAACAGGCAGACTGGGGGGGGATGGGGTTCGAACCGGCAGCGCCCCCCTCCCCCCTGGTTTTCGATGGGGGGGTGGGGGGGCGGGTTGGGAATCCCCAGTGACCCCCGCCGGTTTTCCGCCAGCAGCGGCAGAACACGTTCTTTCAGATGTCGCGCAAACCCAACTTCGTCTTCCGCGCCCGCCCCGACGACCTCGATCCTCCAGTCGACGGCGTAGCCGCCCTCGAAACCGCTGCCTTGACAACCTCGATCGACGGGGCCCCGCCCGCCCCTCGCCGCGCTGTCACTCCGCTTCCTGCGAACGCACCTGCTCCCCGAACTCCACCCTGACGTCCGCGGGTGGCCCTTGTTGCTGTAGATCCACATCGTGCCGAACTGCTGCATCCTGTTCTCGTGGGAGACCAAAGCGACGCCTCACACTCCCCCATGTTCATCATCTCCTTCCCACGGCCTCTGGTCGCAATTTCCCTCGGCAGCTCCTCCCCCGCGATTGAGACGCGGCGAACACCATCTCCAACCGGCCCTGCAAAACCAACTTCAGGATCGACCTCCGCGCGCGCGGGTCGTTCCTCATGCTTCGTCACGGCTATTAAAGCATCGACCTCCCTCGGCCCCCCGCGCCTCGGGCTAACGGGGCCGTCTCAATCTCGGGCCCCTGCCGAAACTCCTCGATGGCCGCCTCCATGTTCACTGCCCCGCTGACATACTGCACCTGGCTCGTCCACTCTCGCCGACTCGGGCGGCGGCGCGCCATCTGGTCTTCTGGCGCACGCGCGCCGGCTGCGCTGCTGGACTGCACTTGCACGCCGGGAGGCCGTCGGTCAGCACAGGGCTCGTCAACCAGCGCTTTCGCGATGAATCGCATCCTTCTGACTGCCTCGCCCTGGCCCTTCACATCCAAGCCTCGCGGGCCCCACGGGGCACCAATGAACTTGGCGGGCACGTCCTACCTGCAGCGATCCTCCAAGCTCGCCCCCCCATCGCCCTGCAGCGTTCGGCCCAGCGGAAGCGCCCGCAGTCGCCTCATCACTCTCGAAGCGTCGTCCTACGACCAGACCACTCCTTCGCTCCGCCTCGGCCCCTGCATGGGGCGGCCCGTCGCCTGTATCTCACAATAGCGATGTTCGCCAACTCCGCTCTATATTCCGCTCGGCCGAGCGTTTCCCCGGCTGTCCCGCCCTCCGTCATCGCCGCGAACCTCGCGAACAAGAATCCCGCGTGCCATGCCAGCCACGGCGCGACGAGACTCTCTGGCCCGATGTCCACCTACAACTTCGCCCCCAGCTCTGCTGGGAAGGTCCGCAGTAGCGCCTCCAGCTTTCTCGATCGCGCCGTTTCTCTGATGCGAGCCTGTGGGCGCCTTCTCCACTTGGGTACTGCGCTAGCTCCGCAGCTTGACCGCCCTGATTACAGCCTGCAGCGACGCCTCCTGGCCACCTTTCGTGGGCGCCTCTGCTGGGCCCCGCGCGTCAACGTAGAACACAACTGCCGATGTGCGCACTCCCCGGGGCCCTTCGCGAATACTCATGATTGCCGCCAAGGAGCCCTCAGACTTCAGAACCATAGCCAGAATCGCCACCATGTCCGTCTCGGCGTCGCGATTCCGGAAGCAGTAGTCCACGCTGATGACTGGCATCGTCGGGGCACCATCCTGGTCAGTTCGAATATGCGTTTTCTTTTGGCCGCGACCACATAGGCACCACATGCACCAGTCCCTGAACGGCAAGGGCGCCCCCCCCCACCCCACCCCCCCGCGGACCCTGCCCCCCCTGGCACCTTGGTTTCCTCGCTCGCATCGTCATCTCCAGCCCTGGTAAGAGCGCGTATAGGGCCTTCGCGTACACGTCGAACGCGCACGCTCCACGCCGCTGGCTCAGCCGCAGCGGCCTCGCTTTCGCCGGGACCGGCTCCGCGCCTATCAGAAGCTGGGTATTGTCCGCTAGGCCCATGTGAACCATCTCCATCAAACAGCGCTCCTTGGGAACCCATGGTGATGTCCCTCACGGCAACGATGGCCCTGTGAACGCCCCTGTCCAATGGCAATACTCGCGCGGCCTATCGTCGCATCCTTTTCCGTCACCCTGGCACGCGAAACCGTTTTATAAACGCCCCCCAAGAAGGAATCGAAAAGGGCAAGGCTGTTCAATAAACGCCCAGGGCCGTCTAGCACACGCCAATTATCGGGTCCGGGTGGTCTTTCCTTCCCCGAACATATGCATCGGTCCCTTGGAATGGGTCGAGACCTCTGCGGGGGTGACGTTATTAAAAAATCAGGGTTCATCTGGGACGGGCTCGGCTTCGAGGGGCTCAGGTTGGCCTGGCGGGGCCATCGTGAAAATGACGAGACACGGTCTGAAATTCCACGCGGTCTCCCACTGCAAACATCCCACGAACACTGGACCGTCAAAACCCAGGACGCACTCGTCAAGAAGCGTCGGAAACCCGAGATCTGGCGTACTCGGGTCTTGCGTTTCCCCGCATGACGTCGGAAGTCTGGGGAGGCGGAGGGGGGAGGGCGGGAGGGGGGCGAGAGGAGGGGAGGGGAGGGATGGGGGAGGAGGTCGACACAAGAGGAGAGGGCAACGATACGTAACAACTATAGCAACGAACAAAAAGATAACAACGGTAACGATGGCGACGATAACAACGATCACAACGATAACAACGATAACAATGCTGTTATCGTTGGCATCGTTATCATTATCGTTATCGGTATGATCGTCATCGTTGTTGTCGTTGTTGTCGTTGTGTTCGTTGCCATTGTGGGGGGTACGGACGACACAGGCGCTACGCGCATCGCGCCCCGCGATGCGCGACGCCTGGTGATCTTCGCGCTCTCGCGCTGCAGACCTGAAGAAGGGAGCCTCTCGAACCCAAGCCACGATGACGACGCGCGATTATCTTTAAGTCGGGCATGTCCCTCTACAGGAGGAAGATTCGAAAATAGTCAAAACATAGTCCGGGGACGATTTTTCTGATATTCTTCTTCTATGTGGGGATTTTCTGGTCATCTGTAGGATTTGTCGCTCAAGACCCGCCTTTAGGGGGACATGCCCGACCTAGGACTACCTGCGCGCCCCTGGGGGCGACCTGGCCGCCGCGGCGGCGACGGCGAGGGCTGGCGGAGGGGTGGCTCCAGAGCGAGCCGCCTCGCCGACGCCTCGGTGGGCGCCATCCAGGCGCGACCTGCGGGGGCCCCCGTCTGCCTCCGGGGGCGGCCAGGAGGGGGCGTCCGAGGGGGGGGGGGGGGGGGGGCAAATCCTGGCCGGCGGCACGTGCGCGGCCCAGGGGGGGGGCCAAGAGCGCAGTGAGACAAGAAAATGGGCCATGGCATCCGAGGAACTGGCATGGCCCACGCCACGATGCCCGCGCCCCCCCCCCTCTGGTCATCACCCCCCTTCCTTGCCGCCCCCGATGCCTCCACCTCCAGGGCCTGGCCTCCTGGGGACACGCCCTCGCGAGGGTGTCCGCCGGGAGGGGTCCCTGAGCATCGTCCCAACGGTCCACATCCCCACTGGCGTGGCCTGGGCTTCGCTGGCAGATTCACCCGCCAGCTGGGGATGCCCGGTGCGGGTTCCCTGAAGCCGAAGATTGCCAGGCAGCCCCTGTCCGAACTGCTGTCACGACGCGAATTCTGGCTTTCGGGTCCCAGCTCAGGTCTCTGGCAGCCGCTTGGGAAGATCTGGGCACCTCGGGCACGCGCTCCCCGGGGCGAGACAGCTGGAAAACACCCAGAGGCTGTGATATCTCTGGGCACCGAAGATAGCGTCGAGTAAGCTTGTCCCGCCCTCGTGATTATTTCACGGCACGTGTGGGTCTGGGAAGGTCGATGCTGGGCCTTCTCTTCAATACCACTACCATACATCAGGGGCGGCTGACCCTTGGTAGTCCTTTGACGTGCAGGGCGCCGACTGCGCCCAGCAAAGCACTACCACAGATCAGCCGCCCACGGAGTATACTGCTGGACGCCTGGAAATGAGCCCCAACACCAACACAGGTGGTTGGCCCCACCGGGCAAAGATGAGCCTGGGTCTTAATGCTGGTGGTCTTATCTCTCCGCCACCTGGGAAGCCCGAAAATGGTCATGATCACCGAGATCAAGATCATCTTCCCTCCGATATTGGTGTCGGTGTCAACCGCTAGGCCTCCGTTAGTGGTGGCCGCGAGGGAAGGGCCCACCGAAGGTCACCCTTGCGCACCGCCGAAGGTTGAGCAGGGACCGACCGTCCCGGCGTTCCTATAGGCCTACCACGAAAGGTTCTTAGAACCCCAAACTGTTCTAAGAACGAGAACAGCGTTTCTAGAACATGAGCCCAGTGTGTTAAAGCGAGACGGTCCCATCCAAAAATGTTCTAAGAAAACTTCGTGCAGACCGCAGAAAAGGTTCTCCTAACATTCTCTGGTGGGCCTCCATCGGGTCGGGCGAAAGGGGGGCATAGCAAAGGGAGGGGTCGAGAATCGGCTCACGTAGCTGATCTTCCCGGCGCCTCCCAGCGCCGGGAGGCGCCCGTGTATCGAGGAATGGGCCCGGCGGCGAGGCCGACACCAGCTGCGTGCAGCAGACTTCGTGACCCCCCCTGCCCCTGCCCCCCCCCCCCCCCTCGTTCCTCCCGGCTCTGGGCCAGCCAGGACGCTCCGCCACTGCTCGACCCCTGCGGGCCCCTTCGGGGCGCTGGCCGGCGGCCGCCGAGGCGCGGCTCCGTGCCCGGGCCCGCGGAGTACACCAGGAACGGCTGGCTGGTGCAGGTCCGCCAGGCCTGGGCCGGGCGCCGGACGGAGGAGAGCGAAGGGGCCCAGGGGCACACAAGGAAATACACACAGAGAGCCCAGGATTCCCAACACTTTTCCATGCTTTCTTCACTCTCGTCTTCCCCCCCCCCCCCACTTCCCATGTTTTCCCAGGTCTTCCTGGGAGTCGACGATTCATTGTGCCTATGCGTGTGTTTTGTCCCTTTCGAGAGGGGGGGATGGATGAGGGGCCCTCTGGCCGAGGCTCTCCATGGGACCTCGCCGGAGCAGAGACCCGAGGATGGAGGCAGCCCAAATGAGGGCGCCCGCGGCCAGAGCAGGTCAGGGCGACGGAGGCCTGCGGAGCGAGGGGGACAAGAGAGAGGCATGGATAAGCAAGGTGCGCTCGCGCCATGTATCGCATCCTGCCTGGGAGCAGCAAAGGAAAGAGTAGCGAATCGGCACGGGATCTGCGACTACAGTGGGGGCCGATGCCAAGGAAAACACCCTGCTTGCCTCCAGGGTGCCCTGGGTTTCTGGGGCTTGGACGGTTTTTTGCTGGGGAGGGCGTAACGCTCCCACAACAAAAATCCATGGACGTCCCGGGGTCTCAGGGCTGGGCTTCTCGTGGAAGGTCTCTCGTGGTCGGGCTCCCACTGTACCGCCGAAGATCTGGGGGAGCACGTCGTCGTCGTCAGAGATCTGGGCTTCTCGTCGCCGTTGCCACCGCCGCCGTCGGCGGCCGCTGGGCGCACCAGGAGGGCCCAGAGAGGCGGGGGGCGGGAACGCAGGCGAGCGCAACGTGCGGGCAAGATCTATATTATCCATGTGCGGTGCGTCTTGGACTCTGTTGAGAGGCGCGCCACGAGGCCCGGGCGCACTGGACGTGGATGCAGATCTAGCCTGATGTCGGGCCTCTCCCCCTACAGGGGGATGTTCGACGAAAAATGAAAAATACACCGAAAATAACCCTAAAAAGATCAGATAATACTGAAAAAATAGCCCCAGACTATTGTTGTACTATTTCTGTTACTATTTGGGGGATATGTTTAATTTTTCGTCGAAAATCCCCCTGTAGGGGGACAGGCCCGACTTAAATCTAGCCCCTGCGGGGGGCCAGCACTTCTTGAACCATGTCCAGTGCACCGCGAGCCTGCCTGGGGCAGGGGGTCCGAAACTCAAAGCTGCAGTGGATATGGACGCAGGCCTTGCCCGCACAAGGGAGCTGGCCTTGACGTCGGGCGTGTCCCCCTGCAGCGGGAGTTTGGAAGAAACATGAAAAATGGCCAAACAAATATTCGACACGTTCGAAAAGAATCGAAAGATCGTCGGGGCCCGAGACTATCTCTGAATACGTACTCCACCTGTAAAGAGGACGTGCCCGACTGAAAGCTGGCCTGCAGGGGGCCGGGGCGGCCAAGAAGGAAGGACGGCAGAGCGGCGGGCGGGCTCAGCGCGCACACTTTTTTTTTTGTCAGATCGGCGGCGAGCTGGGCTCCAGCAGGGCAGGGGTGCGGGAGCAGGGGCACGGCCAACTCTACAGGGGCCCCGCAAGGAGCACACACACAGGTGCAATCCCAGGGATTGCCCCATCTCTCCGCACAGTTTCTGGGCTTCCCTCGTCCCGCCCGCTTCCCATCTTCTCCTGCGTCTCTCCTGGGAGTCGACGATCAGCTGTGCCTGTGCGTGTGTGTGATTTTTCCCCTCCTGGCCAATGAATGACATGAGCATCAAAATTCTCAGCACTGCGCGGCTTCCTCGGAGCGGCGCTGGAACCCCCTCCCTGGCGCGCGGCGCTCGCCGGGGGCGGTGCCGGAGGCACCGCCGGGGGGCTCCCACGCCGATCCGAGAAAAACCCGCGCGGAGCTCCAAGCTCGTAGCTGTCTGTTCCCCGAGGGAGGGCCGCGGACGGCACGAGCGCCCCCCGAGCGTGCAGCACTTCTTGGGACGTGCCGGGGGCGGGCTCAAGTCCGCCGACCCTGCCGCGTGTGGAGAGGCGCGTCCGTCTGAGCCGTCGTCGCCGCCGCTCCCCCCTCCCCGCCCCTTCCCTGGGCCCTCCTCTGCAAAGGAAAAAAAAACGCGGCGTAAACAAAAACTTTTGGCGCTCCGCGCGGAGTTCTTGGATCTGCGCTGGGCCCCCCTCCCTGGCGCGCTTGGAGGCGCCGCCGCGGGGGCCGGATCCAAAAAATCCGCGCGGAGCGCCAAAACTTTCTGTTCATGCCGATTTTTCTTCTTCGGCTCAAGCGTTCCAGCCAGAGGGAAATCGAGCAGCGTCGCAACCGAGACGAAGGGAAGCCCATTCCGTGTGATCCCTCCCCCTCTGGGGCAGGGGGGGGCACGGGGGTGTGGGGGCGGGGTCCTGGGAGAGGTGTAGGGGGGTCTGGGGGGGGGTGGGGGTTGTGACCCCCGCACCCAGGGGGGAGCACCCCTCCCTGGGATAAGCTTTCGGCTCCGGGGCGTGAGCGTCGTCGTCTTCGTCGTCGTCGTGGTCGTCGTCGTCGTCGTCGTCGTCGTAGTCGTCCTCCCTCAGAGTCGGAGGCACCAGCCGTGAGGCCTTTCGCAGTAGAGCGCAACAGGCCAGCGCAATAGAGCGGGGGGTCTGACCGCGCCTCGCGATGTGAGGCTGCGCCGCAGGGAGGGGCTGGGCCGTCGGGCCTCGAGGGGGGGGGGGGCCCGTTCGAGCGGGGGCCCCAATCCGACAACGCGCACCCATGGCCCTTCGGGAAGTCCACCCCCATCAATCGGGGGGTCGTATAGGCATGGCTGCTAGTTGCGAGTGGTCAGGTCATGACCAGGGGAGAGGCAGCAAACTAGCTGAAACAATAAGAAAAGAAAAGCCGAAAGGCTGCATAAACAGAGACTCTCAGAAGTCCGCCCGGATTCAGGGTAGCGGCGCTGGTCCGCTCCCGTGCCCGCGACTGTCCGTGCTGCTCCTCGTATACGAATGCAGCTAGCTTTCCTGGCGCTGGGAGCTACAATGTATCAATCGACAGGATCAGCGTTTTTTGATTCGGCGTTCCGACATTGGGCAGAAGGGGGGGAGTCTGACTCGTGACCTCAACCTGATGCGCCTGTTTGCAACGGTGCGCCCCATGGGGGAGACTCCGCCTGCTCGAGACCAGCGCCAAAACACAGCCAAGATCTACTCCATGGGGGGTCGAAGGCCCGCGCCGATCGGCAAAACGAAGCGCGCGCCACTGCTCGCAGAGTAACCGCTCGCAGATGGCCTGCGTCCGCCGAGGGAGAGATGCGCGATCCATGGCGTCCGCGGCAGATGCCGGTCTTCGTCGGACGCTTGCGAGTCGGCACCTGGCGAGTCGTGGAACGATCTCGGTGAATCCAGGAGGGGTCCTCGTGGCAATTCCCGAACCGCTCGTTCGGCACGACCCTCGCCCCCTCCGTCCCCAGGCCGTCCCCAGGGCCCAGCCAGGCCAGGAGGAGGATTAGAAGGAGCGGCGGGGTGGGAGGAGGAGGAGCAGGGGGAGAAGGAGGATGAGGAGGAGGAGAAGGGAGGAGGGAGGAGGAGGAGCGGGAAAAGGGGAGGGAAAGCCCCCCCCCCACGCCGTTTCCCGCACCCCCCGGGGCCGTGTGTTCTCGGCTCGCGCGGTGGAGCCCTGGAGGCGTCCCGACCCCGACTTTGGGACCGCTCGGGCGGAGCTTGGAGGAAACATTGGAGGCGCCAAGGATATACGTTTAACAGCTCGAGCCCCCCCACCCCCCGGCAAGCCCCCCCCAGGGCTCCCTCCCTGGCCGACGCCCTCCCCTCCGCCCTCTTGTTTGATTTCAGACGCCAGGGGAGGGGAAAAGACAGCCAAACATCCCGAAAAAGAGTCAGAAAGTATTCAACAACAGGCCAACAATAGTCGAGACATCGTCACCTGACTGTTTCTGGGCTGTTCTTGAATATGCCGCCTGTAGAGGGGCTGGCCCGACTTAACCTTAGACTCCCGCTGAGCCGTTCTCTGACAGTGGCCGGAACTACGCCAGAGCCCCCTGGGGAGGTCGAAGACTGTCCATAACCCTCCGTCGCGATTTCTGTTCACGACGCGGGGGGGTCTTCATTCAGGGGACCTTGTCTGTCCCATCGTACCGCCATCCACATCGGATCTGCGTCGAATGCGCGTCGGATCCGCGCTTAATATCGAAGCGCCGAATCCTCGTCGCATGCAAGAAGAGACCGCCGCAGGACGTGCCAGGCCCCGCGAATGTGCAACGCAACTCGATCCTCCTCGATCCTGGACCTCCTCGATCCTCATCGACGCTCCTCGATCATGCTCCCGTTATCGACCCCCTCCTCAACTCCCTAAACCCTCGACCCTCGACCCTCGATCCTCCTCCCCCATTCCATCCTCGATCCACCCTACCTCCTACCCAAACATCGTCTGTCGTGTTGTTGTTTGCTGTTTCACACCGTAGCTCCCCACTGGACCCCTTCCCAAGAACTGGCTGGTCATCACGAGTAGATTTGCTGGACCGTCCCGGGGTCCAGTGAGGGCCTCATGGAGGCCGAAAACTGCCAAAGATCATCGTCGTGGTTTGTTTGTTGCACGACGCGAGGGTGTCGGGGTCACTCCTAGATGTTCGATCTCCCTCTGATTAACCAAAGAAAGACTCCTAACCCTTGGGGAGGGGACCTGAGTGTAAGATGGCACGTGTCGCGAGGCACAGGACACAAGGGTACCCTTGAGCTGGCAGGGTCGACCTACTGCTCCGGGCCGACTGTACTTTGCTCCCGATGACCCTCCGACCTCATCCCCGCGCGCCTCGTCGTCGCAGCCGGCCGCGAGCAGCATGGTGCAGCCGGGGTCCTCGCTGCAGGCGGCCTGGGCGGCGTCCAGCGCCGAGAGGTCGCCTCCGCCGCCCACCCGCTCCTCGCCCGCGCAAGGAGGGTCAGGAGCATCGGCTTGGTTCAAGCTCCTTCTTCTCCTTCTCCCCCTCCTCTTGCACCTCCTCCTGCTCCTCCTCCTGCTCCTCCTCCCTCCTCCCCCTCCTCCTCCCTCCTCCTCCCTCCTCCTCCTCCTCCTCCTCCTCCTCCTCCTCCTCCTCCTCCTCCTCCTCTATTCCTTCTCCTTATCAAGAACTTTTCCCTGTCGCACCCCGAGGCCAGTTGTTAGGGCGGGCCCAGCGTTTCGCCTGAGACTTCCTCACACGCGATTTGTTCTCACATTGAGGGCGGGTCGTTTTCAAAATGTGGCTGTCGCTTTAAAGCCGCGCCCATCCGTTTGAATCATGTGGAAGAGTTTCACGGATTGGGGGCGGTTCCCTTTTCAGCACGTGGCTCTCGCCTTAACGCCGTGCGCATTCGTTTCAAGCATTTGCAAACATTCCACGAGTTCCCATGATCAGCGTACAAGGTTTTTATTGGAGAGATTCAAGATTATGAAGGTGCAGCAGCTACGTTGATTCGCGGGGTTGACCTCCTGGGAAAAAAAAAGCAATATGGCACGATTCACGATCGTCAAAGCGCAACAGTCATGTTGATCCGTGGCGTTAGAATCCCGATAATAATGTGTTGGCATGCTTCAAGAACTTCGAACGGTTGCCTTCCAACGAAGCGCTTCCATCAATGGAATTGAACCGTTATAGGGGCATGTGAAAAGGGAGCTTGGAGGGAGGGTTCCTTCCAACATCGTTGATGGCCCTTGGGTTTACATTGGTCCTCCTCCACCTCCTCCTCCTCTTCCTCCTCCTCCCCCTCCTTCAACATACTCCTCCCTCTCTTCTCCTCCCTGTTCCTCCTCCTCCTTCCTCCATCCTCCTCCTCTCGTGTTGCGGAGAATCAGGAAGCGGACGAGGAAGAGGAGAAGGCGGAGGCGGATTCGTGCCGCTGGGCTGGTCTGCCACGAAATATCAGTCCTCTCGGCCTCCAGGGGCCGAGCTCCCGTCGAGCTCGGCACCAGCGGAAACACTGGAAGACGAATATACACCAGCGCGAGGAAGGTCCAAGCAGAGGCCAACGCGGCACTCGGCAAACGAAGGCAAGTGCAGGAAGCACGGTGCAAGAAGACGGACTGATGAAAAACACGGACCACGCTGTTGGCCTCAGCATCTAACCAAGCCGAATCTAGCATGGGGTGCCTGCCAACGAGGATCTCCTCCAAGTGGCTCTGAACGTTTCGAGGGTCAGCTGGCTGGCCGCAACACTTCTGGCCGCGGTACCTAACACGGTTCCCTGTCGCGAGCGCCTTGCACAAAAGGCAAACGCACACGATGCCTCCGCCAGAAAACCAACTCGGTGAACCTGTGCTCGAGATTCTGGAGCGCGTCAGCATCGAGCTTGCTGTTTTGGGCGCAGGCCAGAATACTGCGTGGCCACACCCCCCCGCCGCGCTCTCACGCAGTGGTTGCCAGGCCAGACGGCAGCGCAACCACCGTGTGAGAGGGGGGACGGGGGCACAGGGCCCCCCGGTGGCTCTGGACAGATCAACCTGGCCGCCAACTGACAAACGGCCTCGGTGACCTCCAGGCACACAGCAAACCGCTCCGGCTGCTCGGGGGAGGGGCCTCTCGTAGGCCCACGCGCCCAACTCATCATACCGGTCTGCCGGATGGCTACCATCCTGCCAAACGAACGATAACCGTCACCAGCTGCGGGCTCCTCCAACATGTGGTCCCCGACCTGTTACGTGGGCCCCGTCTGAGAGTCGGAGGTTCAGCAGACGCACCGTCGCGAACCCGCTGATGAGATCAGTGGGGGGACGGGGGGAGAGAGGGCGGCGTGGGCGCGCCCCATCTCCTGCCAAGGGTCAGGAACTGACAAATGACTCCAGCCCGTCCGAAACAACACCCTGACCGTAGATCGCACGCACGCCCCCCCCCCCGTCCATGAACAAGCGCCCAGTCAAGGTAGAATCATCGCGCTCTGGTTCGCAACGACGCTTGCAATTCGTTCGGAACTGCTTCGACGGGAGGAGATATCCCCGAAATGAGTGAACCGCCCCAAGGCGCGCGCAATTCTGTCCGCGTCGGACACGTCGCCCCACCCAGTGGGCCGGCGCTTCAAGTTGGCCCAGCAACGCCCCCCTCAAAACCTGGAAAGGGCCTGTGCGAGCACCGCCACAACGGGTGGCAAATGGCACTGGGCTCCAACCCGCGCGCGGCGCGCAGCAGGTCGGGCCTGCTCTCGCACCCTGGCCCGCGGGGCCCAGCAGATCAAGCCTCGGATGGTCCCCGCCCCGAAGGCCGCGACACCCCTAAAGTCCAACTGCCCCGGGACCTCGCCCGGAATCTCCCGAGGGACCTTCCCAGTCCGATCCGCCCGTGGTCCGAGGCGTCGCGATCCGCGCGCCCGTGGATTCTGCCAGGCAGGGCCCCCGCGGCAGACGAATCCTCGGCATGGCGTCCCAGACAGCCTCTGCGCAGGGCTGACCTCTCAACATCCTGCTGGAAACGCATCGAAGTTTGCACTTGTTTGACTCCTCGCTTGCCGGCGGGGCGGTCTCCACCCGCCGCGCGGTCGACGCCTCGGCCGACAGCAGACACGCGCGCCCACCCCCCCCCAACACAACATAAAAACCAAGGAAGAAAATGCACCCAAGTCGGCGCGCGCCACCCCCGCATCAGCAGCGAGGGAGGAGGCCAAGGCCGCCTTTGCCACAGCGATGGCGCAGCCAAGGCTCGCTCTGAACGCTGCCCCGCGGACCGAACGCACCTCCGAGCGACGCGCAGGCGACCGCATTCACAGAACGGCCACGCGACAGGGCGTCGCCACGAGCATCGACTCGGAGCGAGGCCGACCTCGGCAACCTGAGCCTTCCCAGAGCTGCGACCGCGGAAACTCCGAGGACCCCTAAAACTTGGGCGCCCGAGTTATCCGGGGTAACTCGGGTCCGGGGTAACTCGGGCTTGGATTCCCGAAAAAACGAACCCGAATTAGCCCTGACCCGAAATGCCTCTGATGATTTGGGGCTCTGGACGCCCGAATTATCCGGGGTAACTCGGGTCCAGGGTAACTCGGGTTCGGATTCCCGAAAAACGAACCCGAGTTAGCCCTGACCCGAATTACCCCTGATGACTCGGGGCTCTGAAAAACCTGCTGCGCAAGGCCATGTGAAGAGCCGAGCAGCAGGCCGCGTGGCAGATCCCAGCAATCTGCATGGGGAAGCCCAACCGTCTGCAGCGCTGAGAGAGGCGATCCAGATCGACAAGCTCGTAGACCTTGAGAAGATAGATGGAACACAGATCTGTCCCCACCGCTGCTCACTCAAACTCCCAAACGCCATGCTGGGGCTGGGCGCCAGAACCCGCGGCGAAAACATCGCGGCTGTTTTTGGTCTCCGGCGAACGAAAACAAGGGGCCCAATGGGGCGGTGCCCCCCGTCGGGCTTCGGAAGCGCAATGAGCGCGATAGCCCGCGTCTGGCCAGGCAGCAGCCCCTAGCGTTCGAAGGCAGCGATCATTCGAGCGAGGGCGACCAGGACCTGCTCCGAGAGGCGCTGAAGTGCCCAACTTGAAACCCACCAACCGACGCGGCTGCGCGCGCTGGGGAAAGACCTGGAGACTCTGCGCAACCGGTCGGGCGCAAGGTAAGGCTTCGCCTCCGGGGCCAGGAAGAATCCTCTTGGGGGCGGGCCAGGCACACTCCCATCGGCTCCCCAGAACCAGAAATGGCGGGCCCACTCGCGAGGAGGCTCTCAGGATCCGAAACAGCTTCACCATTCGCACGAAGGGTAGGGGACGGGACCCACCCCGGGGCCCCCCGAACAGACCCGCGAGTGCGACGAGCCCCAGACTCGACGCTTGGTCCGAAGCCACGTAAACCACTTTGGTATCCTCAGCGCGAGCACTACTCGACCTCCGATTGGACCATCGAGGCCAGCGCGCGCAGCCCGCCGGCAACGATGGGGGAGGGGCGAGCTTCGCCGCACAGTGTCCCCCCACTTGGTGGGGGGGTGAGAGAAAACTGCGCAGCCGTCTGAGACAGGTGGCGGCTGCGAGCAGAGCACTGACGACCCTGCTTACCTGACCGATGTTGCTCGTTGCCACGCCCAGCGCAGCGCGGGGGCGAGGGCGCAAGGAGTCTCGACTTCCAGCGGACCAGGGGCATTGGCATGGAGCTGCGGCCAGAGAGGGCACCAGCTGCCCGGCCACCTGAACTGCGAAGCCAGATGTCGGCGGTGGACAAACCTCCCTTTAGCAAACCTCCCCTTAGTGAAAACGGCCTGGGACCGAAACCGACGGACCTGGACCCGCAAAAATGACGGCCGCGACGCCCTCTCGCGAACCGAAGACGGCCAATTCCTTAATCGACGTGTCAGGGTAGGAGGTCTATCCACCTCCGAAGATGCGGAGTGATGGAAACTCAGCTGGCTTTTTCTGCCGAGCGACGCTGACCCAATGGCGCTGCGCTCGCCTGCCCCTGCTGCCGCGACGCGACATCTTGACTTGCAACACATCCTCAGACTCCTGGCCGGCAACGTCGGCCCCGTCATGGCAGAAGATCTCCAATAGGGGGCCGCATGCGAACCCTCCCCCACCCTCCCCCTCAGAAATCGTGGGGGGGTAGGGGTAGGGTTCGCATGCGGCCCCCTACTGGCCAGCAACGTCGGCCCAATCATGGCAGAAAATCTCCAAGTTGAACTGAGTCAGATCGGTGTCCCCCAGCTCTGGAGCCATCAAAATCCCCCGGCGGCCAACTTGCCCGCGAGGCCCCCACTCCCGAAGGGCCTGGGGGCAAGGCCCCGCGGGGCCGGGGGTCGGGAGGAAGAGGGCGCCGGCGGAAGCGGAGGGCCTGGAGGCAAGGGGGCCGAGAGTGGGGAGCGAGGGCAACGGGGCCCCGCGCGGCTGCATCCGCCTCTCTCCGATCAAAGCAGCGCTGCGGGTCGCCCACGCCTGCCTGGCACAGGCAAGGAAGGATCTGTACGGTGTATCACGAGCAGCGCCACGGCAGGTTCCCCTACACGCGGTCTGGACACGCAGACTGGGCTCCGAGCTTGGAAGGGAGCGCGGACGCCGCGTGCGGGAGGCTCGAGATGAGAGACGGCGCCTAGGACCAAGGGCACCGAGAGGTTCTCGACGCGCGACGCCGAAGATGTCAATGTGTCCTGCTTGACCCCCCTTGAGGCCAGCACAGTCCTGCAGGCACATACTGACACAATAGGTGCTGGCCTGGTCAGGAAGGTGCACCAGGGCCCCCGCGGCCGTGCGGGGAATGATGGCGGAACCGGCATCAGGAAAGTAGACGCATATGCGCTGGCGAGCTAACATCCCGACCCGCCGATGGGCCTCCTCGGTGCTCGCCCTCTGGATCGAGGTTCGAGGTAAGCTTTCCAACCGCTTCTCACTCCCAAAGCGGTGGCCTCAGAAAATCTTCTCGGAGGTGATGAGCCTGTGCTCCTGGCACAGCACCGCGCGAGCCGAGGTACTCCCCCAAAGCGGACGAATACAACTCCAGCTGGTGCAGCTTCCTGGCACGATCTCAAAGCCAAGGACTCCGGCTTATCGAAGCCCTCTCGCGCAAGATGCTCAGACGAATTCAGTGGGGCACCCAAGAAATGGGCAGGAAGAGGGGAGCCCATGAAAGGGAGAGGACTGTGACTGCCGGGCTGGGCTAAAGACTGGGCGGTGCTCTGGCTACAACTGCAGCTCAGACCTGAAAGAGGGGGTGGAATGGCACCACCTCCCGTCCCCTCTGAACCAGAACGGCTCACTTACACCAAAATGGCTGCGGAGGAGGAGGGAGGGAGGGAGGGAGGGAGGAAGGGCAGGAGGAGGAGGAGGAGGGAGAGAGAAGGAGGAGAAGGAGGAGGAGAGAGGAGGAGAACAGAAGAGGCGGAGGAGGAGGAGGAGGAGGAGGAGGAGGAGGAGGAGGAGGAGGAGGAGGAGGAGGGGGAGGAGGAGGAGGAGGGGGAGAGAGGAGGATCTAGGAGGAGAACTAGGAGAGGGAGGAGGGAAATAGAAAGAGGAGGAGCAGGAGAGGGGGAGGATGGGGAGGAGGAGGAGAAGGAGGGGGGATCAGAGTACACCCAAGATGCATCAGCGATGGTGAAATGCACCTCCCCCAGTCCCCTCTCCGTCAGTCCCTACAGGCATCCTTTTTCACTGCTCGAAGCGCTACCCTTGAAAAGCGAGCGAGTGGAGCACGAGGAGGTGATGACGATGAGGTGAGCGCGATGGGCGAGATCGGGATCGGGATCGGGAGCGTGAAGTTCGCGTAGCGTCGCTTCTCTGGTCCACTGCGCTTTTGAGGGGAAATCCGAAGCTATCTATTACCTCCTGGGGCCCTGAGACATCGTTCCCCCAGGCGGTGGCTACGGTCGGGACCAAATTGCAGATGCCACCCGAGAGTACACGGAGTCTCTTCCGAGGGCAACCCGTGCGCTGGACACGGAAGGGGACATGAGACATGACAGACAGGGCACAGGAGTACAGTCAACCCGTAAAGTAAGGATGCGCGATAAGGATGCAAGGCCCTTAGAAGCCCATTTCGAAGTTTTCGAGCGGGGCGCGGCCAACGAACGTGGCCAAGGATGCAGCGAGGATGCATGGATGCAATGGTACCCTTGGGAAGGTTGCCCGTCCTTACTATGCGGGTTGACTGTACCTCTGATCCCGCAGGGCCGGAGGAGGAGAGGTGCAGAGGAGGAGGCTCCCCCCTTTCGGCGCACGCGTCGTCCCCTGCTCGTCGCGATCGCTGGCCCCACCGTCGCCGCTGCTGCCCACACCTCGAGCAGTAGGCTGGCTGTCATAGGGGGGGGGGGGACGGGGAAGAGCATCTGGAACATGGGCCGGCCCGCCTCCAGGGAACGCAGAGTCCCCGAAGAGACAAAGGGGCGAAACGCAGAGGCCAGGGCAGCCGCCACGGGCAGCGGGCGCAGTACTCTGCGTCCCTCGAAACACTTCTGGGGCACCTGTGGTCCAGGCGAGGGTACCTGTAGTCTTGAGTCGGGCGTGTCCACCTACAGGGGCATTCTCGACGAAAAATAAAAAATACCCCCCAGATACCGAGAAGGCCCAAAACACCATCAAAAGATAGTCTCCAGACTATTTTTTTACTACTCTTGGGCATCTCTCTTTTTTTTTTCCGTCGAAAATCCCCCTGTAGGGGGACAGGCCCGACGCAACTGTTGTCTGGGAGGGGGTGCACCAGCAGCGCAGTCCAGGGGAGGGGATGCCTGCGGTCCGGGGGGGGGGGGGGGGACGCCTGCAGTCCGGGGGAGGGGCACCCGCAGCCGGGGCCCCCCCTCGAGGGAGGCGGGCCCTGAGCCCCCGGGGGCCTTCCCCCCGGGCGCCAGTGCTGCCTGCTCTGCATCCCGGGTCGTCTTCTGCCCTGTCGGGCATGTCCTCCCACAGGCGCACTGTGGGAGGGAGGAAAAAGGGTCAGAGGGGAGCGCCAGAAATCGCCACAACGACTCGAGACATCGTCCCCGGACCATGTTTGGAGGAGTGGGGACTAGATTCCGCCCGTAGAAGGACTCGCCCGACTCGAGTTTTCTGGCGGCCCCGCGGGGCTCACAGAGGCCCCCCGAGAGCCCGGGACGACGGCCCAAAACCTCGGGGCCGTCGTCGCCCCGAAGTTGAGCAGGGACCGACCGTCCCGGCATTCCTGTAATCAGTCCTACCACGAAATGTGCTTAGAACCCAATAATGTTCTAAGAGCAAAACAAGTTCTTAGAACATAAACCTGATGTGATAAAACAAGACAGACTCCGCCAAACATGTCCCAAGAACACTTCGTGGGAATCACAAGAGGTTCTTGGAACATGGCTTGGTAGGGCTATGGCCGGGCCAGGACGCCTCGCCACGGCCCGACGAAGGCCCGCGTGCTCCGCGGCACAGGGGCAGGGCGCGAGGGCGCGGGGCAGAGGCCCGCAGCGGGGCAGCGCCGCGGCCGCCCCGCTCCCCCCGTGCGGCCCCACCGCCGCAGTGCGCGTCGGCCGCCGCGCTGTCGGCCTCGGGCCCGACGATGTACAGGTAGGTGATCGACTGCACCTCCGGGCCCCGCCCCTCGGCGGCGGACCAACCTCCCTTCCATGGACCTCCCTTTAGTGAAAACGGCCTGGGACCGACGGGCCCGGACCCGCCAGAATGGCGGCCGCGACGCCCCCTCGCGAGCCGGAAGCGGCCGATTCCTGAATCGACGTGTCACGGTAGGAGGTCTATCCACCTCCGAGCCCCCCCCCCCCTGGCATGGCTGGAAGAAGAACGCCATGCACATTAAAGGTTGTCGCTCCGCGCGGGCTTCTTGGATCTGCGCTGGACCCCCCTCCTCTTTGGCGCGCGGGGCGCGCCATGGGCCGCGCCGGAGGCGCCGCCGGGGGGGCCCAGCGCGGAACCCAAGAAGTCCGCGCGGAGCGCCAAAACATTTTCTGTTTATGGCGTTCGTTCTTCCTAGAATGGCGGCGAGGAGCAGCACCGCCAACGCCAGCGGCGGGCCACCTCCTGGGGAGGAGGCCCACACGTCGGCGGCGCCTCCCCGACGTCACCGAGGTCGGAGGCGCCCAGGCGGCCGGGGTGCCGCAGAAAGCAAGGGGGGGCCGCACTACCAGGACGGGGAGGGCCCTTCACCCCCCTTTCCTGGGAAGAGAACAAAAAAACTGCATGCACATAACTTCTCGGAAGTCCGCGCGGTGGATCGGTTGGATCGGCGCCGGACCCCCCTCTCCGGCGCGCGGAGCGCGCCCGTGGTAGCCCCAGCGCCGACCCAATAAATGCGCGCGAGCCTCAGACAAAGTATTGGTATGCCGCTGTTTGTTCTTTGATCCCTTGCCCCTCGCGATGGTGGTGGTGGTGGTGGCGCGGGTCTGTCCCAAGTAGAAGTTCTATCGAATAGGATGCCTCTTAGGCGGCCCTGCCAAGATCAGTCCAAACTCAGTCCCAAACCAATGATTGTTCATTCGTCCCGTGCTGGATATACAAATCACGATGTTTCAATTGAGAACAAAACCGCAACCACACGAGTATGCAGCAATCAATCTGCTCCGACGCCGCCCTCCTGATCCTGGCAAGACACTTGGGTCAACTTCGGCCGGCGATCCGAAACACGAGGATGTCTCGAGCGGGGCCCTTGTTTTTGAGTCGATGGCCAGGGAGTCTCGAGCGGCAACGCTCCCTGCAGGGTCCCACCGAAAGTGGCGAAATTCGGGCGGCTATCGGGAACACGGGGATGCCTCAGTTCGTAACTCAGCTCCACACTCAGCCTCATGATTCCTATCGTCGTCATCGGCACCATCATCTTTATAATGATCATCAGCATGAATATCGTAATCATCGTCACCATCGGAATCACCACCATTTCCCATCCCGTCACCCCGCCAGGGGGGCCACGCATTTCTATGCGCTGCTGGCCCCTCGGAAAGATTTACCCTGTCTACGCACCTTCGCCCCCGTCCCCTCCGTCATCCTCCTCCACCATGGCCAATTATCCTCCACACTGGGCCGCTATATGGCTCGAATGTGGAGAAGGATGCCACTCAAAACCTAGCTCCGCAATTCTATTGTCCATTACGTCGCTATTTACACTGGGCTTCTCGTACAGAGCTTCACTTGAGAAGAAATCATCGGGCATATCATCGTTTCGTCCATGGCGTTTCACATCCATCTTCTCTTTGCTGAGACCAGACCTGCCCTTAGTAGTCAAAGAATCGTGAAAGAAGGTACACCTGGCTCGAAGTTCCTTGAGGCCTTCAGTGGGTCTCCCCCCCACGCTCCTCGTGAATCCAAGCCGCAGCTGAGGTCCGACAGGAGCCTCGTTCCTTATCCAAGGCCCACTGTGGCAGAACGCTGTCTGGCCACGCCAGGGACGGCGGCGACCGCGACCCCGCCACGAAGGTCGGGCATGTCCCCCTACAGGGGGATCTTAGACGAAAAATAGAACATAGTCAGAACGTATGCGAAAATAGCCCCCCCAAAAAATACTCCAATCGTCCCCAGACTGTTTTTTACTATTTCTGCGTACTCCTCATGTAGAGGGACACGCCCGACTTGAGGCGAGCCCGGCTTCGCATGAACGCACGAAAAACGCCCCCCGCCCCCCACATGGGGAACTTTAGACCAATGGGACCGTCAGACGACGCGCGAACTGAGAGCAGAAACTGCTCGACGGTCAGCCAACGAGAACGCCGCGACAGTCAATGCGAACGGCGCGCTGCTGCCATGCTAATTGGCATTCGAACTTGGAAAGTCTCCCAAAATCTCCTTGTGCGACGCACGAGGGGGAGGAGGAGGAGGAGGAGGAGGAGGAGGAGGAGGAGGAGGAGGAGGAGGAGGAGGAGGAGGAGGAGGAGGGAGGAGGAGAGGAGGAGGAGAGGGAGGGAGGAGGAGGAGGAGGAGGGGGGGAGGAGGAGGAGGAGGAGGAGGAGGAGGAGGAGGAGAGGAGGAGGAGGGAGGAGGGAGGAGGAGGAGGAGGAGGAGAAGGAGGAGGAGGAGGAAGGAGGAGGAGGAGGGAGGCGGAGGAGGAGGAGAAGGCGGGAGGAGGGGAAGGAGGAGGAGGAGGGGGCGGAGACGGAGGAGGAGGAGGAGAAGGAGGAGGAGGAGGAGGAGGAGGAGGAGGAGACTTCGAAGGCGTGCGCAGACGCCGAGCAAGGCCCACTCACTTCGCGCACCGCGTCCCCCGCAGTGCGCGCCGCGCGGCCACTTCGAGCCCCCTATGGGGGAGGGGCATTGGCCTGCACTTCTTGCTCGGGGCCTCGGCCCAGGCTTCGGTCGGGCATGTCCCCCTACTAGCGAATTTTCGGACGAAAAAAGAAAACATGTGCAGCAAAGGCTGAAACGGATTCAAGAATACTCAAACAATCGTCCCCTGACTATTTTGTGGACTGTGTTTGAGCATTCCCCCTGTAGGGGGACGCGCCCGACTGAACCTCCGTGCCCCATGGGCAGGGACCTGGCCTGCACTTCTTGCTCGGGGCCTCGGCCCAGGCCCACGCGGCGCGGGGAGTCGACCCCGAGGGGACCCTCTGCACTCCTCCTCCGCCTCCTCCTCCTCCTCCTCCTCCTCCTCCTCCTCTTCATCCTCCTCCTCCTCCTCCTCCGCCCTGGGACGCGCCCTCGCTCAGAAAACTGCACCGGAGCCGGCACGGGCCCCCGAAGCTCCCGCCCGCACCCAGTCAGCATCGCATCGGGACATCGGAGCAGCTCGGAACATGTGCGCCGGACCGGGCCGAAGCGGCACGGAGCCAACACCGGGTCGGATCGGCTTCGGCAGGATGGCAAACAGCGCCACGCAAGCATCAGACGCCACAGGAACACCGGAATGCAGTAGTAGCTCGACCACAAGACACATTCCACAAGAAAGCCAACCCTGAGGCCCCGGGACGTCCATTGATTTTGGGTGTGGGGGCGTCACGCTTCACTAACATAGCAGAACCATCGACAAAACCAAGAAACCCAGGGAACCTGGAGGCAAGCAGGGGTGTTTCTTGCCATGGGCCTCCACTGCATCGGAGCCGAATATCGGATCCGACCAGGCAGGAAGCGATGCCGAATCGGATCGCTCGGAGCGAAGCCCACCCTGCAGAAAAATCTCGGCCCCCTGGCACCGCGGCCGCGCCGCGGAACGCTCTGGAACGATCCGTCCGAGTCCCACGCCGGCCTGCTTTGCTTCCCGGCAAGCACCGATGCCAAATGCCTGTAATAAGAGTGGGGAATCTAGAAAAGGAACATTATCCTGGCGAAAGACCCAACCATAAGCAACTGTTCGTAAGGCGTTGTGGGTGTCGCTTTCGGTGGGGCTCCCTATGGGGCCACGAAAGGCTGCCCTGGGTGGGGGAACCGCATGCGAACTGCGCCACTGGGGCCTTCGGTGAAGCTCCCTATGGGGCCACGAAACGCTGCCCTGGGAGGGGGAACCGCATGCGAGAGCAGCCACTGGGGCCTTCGGTGGAGCTCCCCATGGGGCTACGAAACGCTGCCCAGGGTGGGGGAAACGCATGCGAGAGCAACCACTGGGGCCTTCGGTGGAGCTCCCTATGGAGCTACGAAACGCTGCCCAGGTTGGGGGAAACGCATGCGAGGGCAACCACTGGGGCCTTCGGTGGAGCTCCCTATGGAGCCACGAAACGCTGCCCTGGGAGGGGGAAACGCATGCGAGAGCAACCGCTGGGGCCTTCGTTGGAGCTCCCTATGGAGCTACGAAACGCTGCCCAGGGTGAGGGAAACGCATGCGAGAGCAACCACTGGGGCCTTCGGTGGAGCTCCCTGTGGGGCCACGAAACGCTGCCCAGGGTGGGGGAAACGCATGCGAGAGCAATCACTGGGGCCTTCGGTGGAGCTCCCTATGGGGCCACGAAACGCTGCCCAGGGTGGGGGAAACGCATGCGAGAGCAACCACTGGGGCCTTCGGTGGAGCTTCCTATGGGGCTACGAAAAGTGTGAGAGGTGTGCCGAGTGCAGAGGCAAGGAGGGGGAGGAGGGAGGTGGAGGAGGAGGGGGAGGAGGAGGAAGGAGGAGGATGGTGGGACGCGGGGCGCTGTCTCTTCAAAACGAGGACCCAACACCACAGGATGGTTGAGGTAAAAAACGGCATGAGCATAAACTTTTGTCGCTCCGCGTGGATCTCTTGGACCTGCGCTGGACTCCCCTCCCTGGCGCGCGGAGCGCGCCAGGTGCGGCGCTGGAGGCGCCGCCAGGGGGGGGGCCCGGCGCGGATCCAAGAAATCCGCGCGAAACGCTTAACGTTTATGTTTATGGCGTTTTTTCTTTTCGCGTGTCGGCAAACTGTCCCGCCACAGGACCGGCATCGCCCTTCCCTCCCGGGTGAAACGAAAACCCTGGCGGGACAGAGAAGGGGGACGGAGGGACGAGCCAGAAGAGGACGAGGAGGCGGCGGATGGGAAGGAAGAGGAGAAGGCTGATCCTACGCTGGCCTGCCTCACAATGTCACCCCCCCCCCTTCGAGTTAGGCCGGGCATGTCCTCCTACAGGCGGGTTTTGAGCGAAAATGGAAAGATATTCCAAAAGTGCCTCCAAATTGCCAGAAATAATAGACAAGT